TACTGCAATCTGCTCATCGACTATCGGCGGGGAGAGCGCTACTTTGCGGAGACATTGATCGATTGGGATCTGAGCAACAACACCCAAGGCTGGGAACCTAGCTACACCGTCTTCAATCCGGTTAGCCAGGCTGAGAGGAACGATCCCGAGGGGGAATATATCCGCAAGTGGATCCCGGAGTTGAAGGATGTGAAGGGGAAAGCGATCTTCGACCCATACCATCGGCTGGATCCGCAAGAGTTTGAAAATCTGGGGTATCCCAAGCCGTACGTCGACTGGCACGAGACCAAGCAGAGAGCGATCGAAAGATTCAAATCGGACATGAAGGATGCTGATCCTTGATCCGTACGGCGGTGGAATAGTAAGCAACGTTCCTCGTCCAGGATTTGAACGCGGAAGTCTTCAGGGAACTATGTGAGATGCCAGGGATTGTCTCTCGTTTGGGGTGGCATTGTATCCAAGGTGGGCGCAATGTCCACCCGTCTTAAGTCCCGATACCCATGGTCAGTCTACAGCATTATGCATCTTATACAGGGGTTGCCATTGTAGTGATGAGGTCCTGTCACCATTACCATAGATATATTGCTATATAGTGAACAACGAGCCACTTGCCAGAGACTCATGCTTTCTTATATATGCCCGTCCGTAGTTTCTTTTGCAGTCTTTCTTTTTCTTTACCTTCTTTAAGTATGTTTGGTGATGTCCTGGATCCCGTCACACACCAGACCTGGATAGAGGCAGCTCTAGGACGGGACCCAGGCCTCCGCTGCGCACATCTGGCGCAGTCACAGTCACCGCCGTCGTAAAGAACATTTTGCAAAGATCAAAGGGCGCCTCCCACGTGAATAGTGAATACGTTTCCTTCCCTTTCTGAGGACACCTGGTGGGTGTGTGGTCACCGCCCGCCGCTTCATGCAGGTGAGACATTCACGGCGTGTAGACTTCGGCCGCCTAAAAGGAAAAGAGAGGAGAGAGTGAGTGATGGAGTGAGAGTCCGCCGAGTAGAAAGTGAAAGAGAGAATGAGAGAGCGAGAGGCAGCGCCAAGTAACCACCTGGGGAGGGGGGGTGTTTGTTGTGAACAATCCACCGTTGTGACTATGATTTCTCGCGTTGTTCCCAAGATGCCTCCTCCAACACTGCCACTCCTCCGTCGACCGACTGCCAAAGACCTCCGACAACAACTCCACCAGCTCAGCGACACAGCGCAGGCCCTCCAAGCCGAACGGATCGGCCTCGAATACCAGCTCCGAAGCGTCCACGAGAGAACCACCTTCAACGACAACCAAATCCGTCGCATCATGAATGAACTTGACCAGAGGTTGTTCAAGGAACATCGTTCGCAAAGCCAGCCCGACTTTCAACGCGGTGTCATTGCGAATGACCTTGTCATCGACGGTATCTGCACTCAGATGCAGCTCAACTCGCATTTGAAGGGTGCCGTCGAGGCCATCAGCAAGAACCAAGGCACAATTTCCGAAAACAACCTCCTCCTCATGGCCGTCTTGAACGAGTTGAGCGGCGATCCCTATCACTTTGCGCACCATGTCGCCGTCCGTCTCGTCGAGTACAGCCAGGTCAAAGACCAAGAGCGTCAAAATCCTCCTGTTCATCCTAGCCTCACCTCTGCCTTGCCTGGCCCGATCGATCCATACTTGGCCCCCCTCGGGCCCGCAGGCGCTGAGAAGGCAAGCACTCGGGCCATTAGAGATTCAACGGTCATCTCATTGCGTTCACAATCACCCTCCATCAAGTCCGAGGATGGTTCGTCCGAACAGGATGAACATGCTGCTCTACCGACCCGCTCTGCATCAGCCCTGAACGATCTCCCTGGCCCTATCCCCATGTCAGCTGCAGTCACTGTGGTTCCCCTGGCAGATCAGGGAAACATCGTCGCACACGGCATGTCAGCTCTCCAAAAGAATTTCCCCGGACTTCTAGAGTCCTTGAGCAAAGCCCCGGTGGCCCGCATCAAGCCCGCTCCTGCGGCAGGTGCTATGGCATCGCTGGGCGTGAAGCGTGGCAGAGAGTCCACGGACAACAATGACAGCCCTCCAGGCCCAGTAAAGGCAGGCAAGAAGGCCAGAATCGGCAAGGAGCCAGGTAAGCCACCACAGTACATGTTTCCGGTTGGCAAGACTAACCAAAAGAAAAAGCCATTGCCCACACTTTTGTCTTGTTCATGAAGCGTCTCGAACAACTACATCAGAGTGGCCAAGACATAGGCGCAATCCTCAAATGCTCCCGTTGTCAGGCCATCAAGCGCGACGTCCGAGTCCTCAACTGCCTGCATCTGTACTGCCACCGCTGCATCCTGTGGCTCCGACACGAGGCGCAAAAGGGCGACGCGGTACGTGGCTTTCAATCATTCTGCGTGCAGCCCGAGTGCAAGCAGGTTGTCAGCGGCAAAACCACCGTGATTGACTCCGAGATTATGGAATTCCTGCAGTGGTACGATAAACAGTCGCCCGCGGTCACTTCGCTCCCGGCGCAACTCAACGTGCTCAGCTCTGCCGTGGCCAAATACCCCGAGGACGACGAGATCAAGCACAAGCTAGAGCAAATGCAGTTGCGGTACAAGACACTCCAGGCCAACGCCGTCATGGATGTCCCGTGCGATCTCATGCAGATTGCGAAGCTGGCTAGGAAGCCCTACTGAACAACGCGGAAAACAACGACAGTTGATGTGAGAACGGTGGTTGAGAGAGGGAGCCACCAACCCGTTCAGGGACGCCGTCGACAAACCTTTAATCAGCCTTGTCAACGAATTGTAGCTTGGGCCCTGCAAAGGGGCAAGAATTCCGATGGATTTCGGTATCGTGATGCCTAGGACCGACCGATGCGTGCAAGAAGCGTCGACCTCGTGGTTGATTAGCAACTCTTCTTATTCTTTTGAGTCACGGAGGGTGGGAGGCTCCTTTTACAAGAAAAGTGCTTCTGTCTTCCTTTTTCCTTCTTATCGGCTTCATTTCGGCAATCGAAAACCCCCAAAATTGGTGGAGACATACATATTATTACGCCCAGTGCGCAACGTGTGCTAGGGATATTGTTTTGTTGCGCAGGCACTTTTTGGGCTCCCTCACAATAACAGGGTTCACTCGGAAAGAAACATTGGATAACCAGAGGCAGGCAGGACGAATGTATCTTTAATAGGCATTGAAGTGGCTGGTGCTGGGGCTGCACAGTCTCTTCGACTGAATCCAGCGATACATAGAAAACTCTTGTTATCCAGTTTCGTATTCAGTTGCTAAGAACTTGTCTGGCTTTGCAACGCAAAATTAATTCGACTACCCTAGGTACCTGTGTAGGTTGGTATGTACATTGGCGGTAGAAGCCGTAGTGAAACCACAAACGGTAAAAGCTGCAAGCGACAAGCACGTCGAGAGGGGTAGTACATCGAAGGTAGTACCCGTGAAGGGATGTACTCTACTAGGCGAGAAGCGTGCAGGTCAGCAAGCAAGCAGGTAGGTAGGTAGGTAGGTAGGAAGGCAGTCGTTCAGCGATGGGACTTGGGGCACCAAGGAGTTGCAAGGGGGTAAAGATGCAAAGGTGTAGAGACAAGGACGCAAGACAAAGATACAAGGGAGGGCCAAAGAGAGATCGTGTCGTGTCGTGTTTTGTCGTTCCCTTTACATTGCTTTCCCTTGAAGCTCGAGTCGGTGGATGTATTCTATTACTACATGTAATGACACTGAGCAGACACAGATCACTGCGCGGAGGTATCTGTCTCATAGCAACGAGACAAAAATCGACTTTATATCTGCCTTTTCGACGACGACGGACCTCTCCTCCCTCCATGTCCGCCGGCAAGAAGAAATCAGAGGTGTACGGAAGCACCGACCTCATCCCTGATCTCGGATCTATATCTTTGGTCTGTTGTTTTCCCTTTCCCCCTCTGTCTTTTTACCATCCCTGCTTCCTCATCTTCCGGATCGTGCCCAACTCACTCCGGAACCCTTCCATGAACAGCTTGCGCCACCGCAGAATGCGAATGTTCTTCCTCCGCTGGCCCCTGCGGACGTGCTTCTCCTGGCTCCTCATGTCAGACTTGACGTTGTTCTCGTGGCATTTGCGCTCGAGCAGGCGAAAGCCGCGCGTCGGATCACCGTAGATGCCGTCGACGGTGCGGCCCAGCGTGGGGCGCAGACGCAGCGTGATGGGTGGCAGAGACGACGAGTAGATATCTTCGTGCAGGTCGGACAGGAGCGTCGAGGTCGAGGTCGTGGCGCTGTTTTCCGGTGATGACCGCTGCGCCGCGTTGTTCTGGGTCCGAGCATTCCCCAGCAATTGGTCCCAGCGTGAGGCGACGGTTTCTTTCCTCTTGGGCTCCGGTGCGCGGGTCTCCCGGATCAGGTCCATGAGCTGGTTTCTCATTGCGTGGGGAGCGGGATTGTTGCTGTTCCTCGCCCTTGAAGGCTTCGGGTTCGACTTCGATGAAGGAGAAGGCGAGTCTTGAGATCTGGGAGCTGTAGAACAGAGCTGCCTAGAGTGTCTCTGCAGAACAGGCCGGATGACATCGTGGATCGTTGACCTCGAGTAGCTCGAGGAGGTGAAGAGGCGTGGTGATAATCTCTGGGGGGTTAATGCACACCGTGCACAACTTTGAAGCGAAGGAGACGCCTTCATCCTCACGGCGGCGCGAGCAAGAGAGTACAAGAGAGTGACACCATGCACGCTTCAATAGCTGCGAGGAAACAAGAGCGGGAGGAGTAGAGTATCCTGGTGATGAAATGTGTCGACAGACACGTTCAATTGAAACAAGTGCTGCAATCTCAGAGCTTGGTGTGGCAGAATTCCCAGCCAATGATGTTCGAGTTTCTGCGGACCGAGATCTCGCTGGAGACATCCAAGTGCGATGCCTCCACATGCACTCCTCCACATAGGTACACGAGGCACCTAGACACAGGATACATTGATGAACAGCCAGAGCATGTGCCTTTATGCTTTCCGTCTGCCACAAGCTCTCAAACGACGTTCTACTCCCCTTCCCTGGCCCCGCAGTATGTCTTCCAACTCCAACCTGATCACGCTCTCCTCCCTCAAGTACATCCCGCCCGCGACCCTTGGCAACCTCCTCCTCGATCCTACAGAGAAGGCCAAGATCGCCATAATAGATGTCCGTGACTCGGACCACATCGGGGGCAACATCCACGGTAGCACTTGGGTGCCCCTGAACCAGCTGGATGTGCGGATGCCCGAGCTGCTGCGCACGCTGAAGGACAAGGAAAAGGTGATCTTCCACTGCATGTTGAGTCAACAGAGAGGGCCGAAGGCAGCCTTGGCCTACGCGAGAGCGAAGCAGAGGGCGGACGCAAAAGAAGCCCGCGAGCAGGCACAATCAGAGGAGAAGGCGGGAGAAGACAAGACGGAAGAGGGCGAGCAGCAGCAGCAGCCGGAGCCGTCTTCTTCGCAGGAAGTCTGTGTGCTGGAGGGCGGCTTTGGCTCCTGGCAAGCGCGTTTCGGCGAGGACTCGAGACTCACAGCAGATTATCAGCCCGACCTGTGGTCCTAACCTCAAGGCAGGTTTAATTCATGGGCTTTTGAGGTCGTTACTCGCGTTACTCGCGTACTCGCGGACGGCGTCCCCCACTTGACGAGAGACCCCAAGTGGGAGACTTTCTGCTGGAAACGTTGGAAGAGGGCATCCGATACCATTAGACTGCCTACCGCAATTCAGCATGTAATTGGCATTCAATGGACGAGGTTTAACCCTGGGAAAGGCAAATCTTGGAGTCGTGGGATGCATACTAGGTAACTAGCATGATGATAACCTACAACAACACAAGGCCTGTCCTTTGTGCTACTCTTACTCTTAGAAGTATGTTTTATGAACTAGACTAGTATTGGTCTGGAGGTATGTCTCGCTGTGTGGAAAGGGAATATACATCCGCGGCATCACAAAAGCCGCCATGCCTCGTGCATTAAAGCGATTAAAAGATTCGCTGTATCGTACGCCGCCATTTTTCAACCCCAATAGTTACAGATCATTACACCCGAAACATCGCAGTAAGCCTGGAAACGCTGATTAGACGTCCGCCTGCATTCGCGGTGGTTACACTCTTTTGCTTGCAGTTTCCTTCAGCTCCATTTCCGTGTTTTCGCGATGCTTGTGCTTCACGCGGCACATGGACCTCAAGCCCAAGACTGCAAGCCAGAAATTTCCCTGCGGCTCGTCGGGAGCGAGTTGGTATAGCAGATCGCTCTCCCAGCTGATGTTGTTGTAAACATTCATAATGCAGACGACTGTTTCGGAGATCCAGACGACCAAGAAGATAATCCAGTACGCTGAGCTGGAGGCCTTGCCACGGAAACGATATGCGACCGCCCAGGTAACCATGCCAATCACCGCAGTAGGCTGAGAAGTCAGCAAATTCAAATCTGAACACATTGATGCTTACTTACCGCACAGAGTCTTTGAAATCTACAGGCCAGATTGAGGTACGCCATTCGGTCGGCAATAGTGTTGCGCGGAGCCGTTGCCATCATCCAGCAGGTTTGGAGGAACGCCATCCTAAGTAGACGCCAATCGATCAGTCAAAGATGCAAACAAGGCGAGGATAGAAATTCGGAGACAACTGACCAGTGCAGAGCAAGAAATGGTGTAACGGTGCCGATGAACGGATGGCTTTCGCCCCCATAGAGCGATCCTAAGCATGCAGCAACGATCTCCAGGCACCATGAACAGATGGCCAAGAAGTAGAAGATGGTGTATTCTTCGATGCGAGCCAAGGAGCCTCCAGTCCTGAATGGCAAGGCCTGGGGCTCGTCTTCGCACGGGTTATCGATGGGATTCGTCATCTCGAGACGCTGGGGACTAGGTTTCGAAACGACGTCCTCAAGTACGTTCGGTCCCCAGCGACAATGGGCACAAACTGCGACAGACGGAGGGAGGTGCGGACAAGGCGCAGATGGACTGTCAGATGGGGACGGCGGCTGTCCACAGTCGATACCTGTACTTGTGCAGGGCGACAGGATCGGTAAGCTGAAGACGTTGTTGTTGGTCGGAGGACGTGACTTGGACGATGACGATGATCCGTGGTGATCCGCCCGCCGCTCAAAACAAGGCCAACAGCGTCAATCAGTTGGACAACACACAACGGTGGACCATCACAGCCACGTGACAAAGATACGTAGAAGCATAGAAGCAGCGAGTAGTTTCCCGCTTAATCTTCGGATAAACTAATTAAATCCCCTTCCGTGCCTCCGACGTGTCAGTTTCGTAGACTTCATTCACTTTGTACATGTGTCTCATCAACAAGACACAAAGTCATCCACCACAACACATCTCCTTGTGCAATGGCTGCCCCTATAAAGACCTTCCCTATATGCGGCGTGACATATGTCGGACAGATCGAGCATGAGTACATGCACGGTAAGAAACTGTCAGTTTGCGCAAACTGTCTGGCCTTGGGATTCCAGAAACCTCTGAGGCGATGCAACGGTTGTTTGTTGGTCGATTACTGCTCCAAAGAGTAAGTCTGCTTGTATCGTCAGCATGAATCTACTGACCCGCTGCCAGATGTCAAAAAGCCCACTGGCGCAAGCACAAGTCATTTTGCAACATGGTCCAGGGCAAAGGAGACCGAAACGCCTACCTCTCATCATATGGCCACGACGAAGTTCTTCGACTCATCATCGATGCCTACCGCTTAAGAGTCGAGACAGACCACTTATCCCGGGATGAAGACCACGGTATTTATTTTCCAGGCAAACCAATCGACGGCCTAGTCTGGGCCAAGGGCGACGGTGAGCACAACCTCCTCGGAAATCCTGCTGGTGGTCGTTACTGATTCTGTGAACCAAAGCATCTGATGACTTCCAACGATTTCTCGATTTGGCGGAAGAGGCAAAAATCCTACCCAAGTGGTGGACGTTTGAGGACCGAATGCAGTGCCTTGCTCTAGCAATCGACAAAAATGACCCCGAGTCAATATTCCGCCCAATCAACCAGACTGAGCTTCCCCAGAGGTATGAAGGTGATATGGCCATCCGATTGGCGCTCGCTATCCTGGCCGAGATGTGTGTCGGATATGATGGCAAGGGACCGGCCAAGGACGACACATGGTTCCAAGAGTTCCAAGAATTCCTCGACCTTCATCCAGAAGAACGAGCCCGTTTGATCAGGGGCAGTATCGAAATGGTGGATTCGGTGTTGAAAGAACACGGAGAAGAGTTCGGACAAAAGCCGAACTAAATGTCGTAGCGGGATGCCCCGTTTGAGCTCCATAGCGAGCGACGAGCAACCCTGACATTGAATCATATATATATTTATCAGAGTCAAATCTGCAAGTGAGTTGCTTGTGCCCCATGTTGGAGCCATTCTTTGCTAAAAACAACTAGGGAAGGTCAAGCGAGCGACTCGATGTCCTCGCAAGGCTGGTTCTGGTCGGAAAGGTTTCTTTTGATGCTTCAGGAGGGTTTAGATGGTACCTTTGGGTGTGGCAGCTGAACGGACAGCTGTCCCTGGTTCCTTCGTCTTCTCGGAAGGGACGTCTCCATCGGTACCACTTCCTTCCAAAGTTGAATCTTGGAAATTTCTTTGAAACCCCCCAGTCTCGACACTCTCCCACCCACATCACCCTTCATCACTGGCACTTGCGCGACCACGACATGGCGAGCCACAGACTTGATGAGATGGCAGAGTCCATCACAATACCTACCGCGGAGTACGCGTCATTGGTGAGCATCTATGCATCCCAGTTCTCCTGTCAGTCGAGGCCACGCGCAGTTCTAACAGAGGCAAAGCTCGACACAAGAAACAAGTTTCGTTCCTTGGTGCAGGGATTGCTTAATGCAGGAGTCTCCGGCGAGTTGCTGGACGCTTTGAGCCGCATCAATCGTCCACTGACACCTCCGAACGACTTCAACTCGACCAATGTCAACGCGATCGAACTAAGCCAAAACGGTGCACCGGGCACCGGGCCCATGCACACAGCTCGTTCTTTCGTTCCTCCAGCCCCTGCCACCGAAATCCCACACCTTCGCCAGCACGCTGCTGGTTTGCAGGCACACCTTGGTCCAGGAATTACGGTGCAAGATGCACCTCAATACGCTGAGGGAAATGCCACGCAAGAGGTGGTGGGAGTATCGAGCAGGCAGAATCGTGACGGTATGACGACAGCAAGACGATCACTTGTCATTTTAGGACTATCACCTGCCACGACACTTCACAGCATCACTCAGGTTCTCAGGGGTGGTGCCATTCTACAAATGTATTTGCGACGCCAGGACTGCTCTGCCCACGTAAGCTTCGTGGACCCGAAAGCAGCAGACAACTTTTATCGCTATGCACAGACAAACGATATCTATGTCGCAGGAAATAGGGTCAGCAGAGACCAAATACAAATGGCCATTGCAAGCTGCTAACAGTCTTCAGGTGGACATAAGATGGGAATACCGACAAACTCAGGTACAACCAAGCTTTGCCGACTTCGTCCAATCGCTCAGTCGTACTCGCAACCTCGTTATTCGCTCCGCGAGCCCAGAAATGACTGAAGATAGCATTCGAGCAGATCTCGAGCACATCCATCACTTGGATGTTGTTGACCTCTTCTTCAGAGATGGTCACGCCCACATATCTCTCAACAGCATTAAATCGGCTCACACGGCAAAGAACTGCATGCTTTCGCGGCAGAAATACATGAGATCGAGGATTGACTTCTATCCCGATGAATGTGCTCGACCACTGCCACGTGCAAATCTCAATCTCCTGCAGAACCCTTCAGCCGTCAATCCAGCTGGCGTCTTCCACAACAATCGCTTCGCCGTGCTCTTTGATGAGTCTGAGGAGTCTTAGGAGTTCCCAGGCGAGGTCAAGAGTTGGTGTTCGAGGTTGCTGGCACAATAGGCTAGTTGATACCAGAGACGGGATAATGACATGTGTTGACGGTACCTGTTTTCACAAACACCGGCGGAGGTTCCACAGTGTGGCATTGGGTGCTTAGTGTCAGTCGCACTATTGAGAGAGACATCGGAACCACCGAGGTACAAGGAGCACGAATAACATATTGCCACCGTTGGCGGCGTTGAATACGCTTCTCGATAGCGGAGCTTGAGTTGACTTGACCTGAATTGCAGGAATTCTAAGACATGATTTCAACTTCCCGACAGCTATCAATGCTGTCCGTATTCTCGTTTTATTTTTCGTGACTATATCCATAGTGCCAGTCCTCCCTTTTCAGATCCTCCCTTATCTTGTAGTTCTCTTCGGCCACGTCGACCGTCCTCATATCACATTCCACAACTTTCATTCCTGGTTCTCCATCGTCAAACGATCCGGGGACTTTCCCAACAAGCGGCAACACCACTTGACTTAACCCGGCATACCCCTCCGACTTTGGGCCGCCCACATTGACAAAAATAATGGCGCAAGTATTCTCAAAAGACCTCGTAATGAGGGCAGAACTCAAAAACTGAAGATCCACATCTGGTCCGTACGCCCTCGCTTCCGGGGTCAGATCATCCCTCGTCCAGAAGGTGGGGATGATAATTAGACGTGCACCCTGACGGACCAAAGACCGACAGGCTTCGGGGAACGCTAGGTCCCAGCATATCACAATTCCCACAGGTCCCAGGGGAGTTTCTATCATTGAATGAGGATCTAGGTGAGGCGGTGGGCCCTCCTCTGTGGATAGATGATGTTGATTGACCTTGACGGAGGCCGGACCCGACGTGAGAACTGTGCGTTCTGGGATCCATAAGTTTGCCTTCGTGTAACTACCCAAAATCTCGCCTGTGTAGGAGATGAAAGGGGCGATATTGAGGAGAACGGGTTGTCTGGTAGAGTCTGCGGACGTTCCGTTGCTGGCTGCGGGAGGCGGCGATTTCGGATCAATGGTGACGATCGTCCCCGGAACAATATTGATCTTCAACTCCCGGGCCAGGGCTTGATACTTGGGCACGTATTGATAAGCAGTTTGGGCCAGGACGGCGAACTGGGGATCTTCTGGGACCCACGATGTTAGATGGTACTCGGGCAGCACTGCTAGCGACGCCCCTTGTGCGGCAGCATCGCGGATGTAAGTCGATGCAGCGTTGAAGTTGTGTTCCAGGTCAAGAGGCTGGTCGTCAAAGTCAGCGCTTCACGCAAGCACATATCAAGAGTTATCACCGATAAGACAAGGACCATACTTTGGGGTGAAGCTGGATCAAAGCAACTTTGAATTTCTGTGAGAACGATTCATAGGACGTCGCCATTGTGTGTTTATCCTCATACCCAGTATTTGGTCAAAGATACTCGACGCAGTGTCTCCTTGTTACGATGACCGTACAGCTGGAAGTTGGTACCCTTGACGAGGCTTGCAACTGAGGTTTCTCCGTCAGACGTCATGGAGACGAGGCTGCGCTAAGCCTAAAGTAGATTTTGAATTGAGCCCACACATCTTTCTCAATTCTCCAAACCTCGAGAAGACTGCCAAATTTTACTTCCTTCGACCACAATAACTACGGGGCAGGTGTTGGCACGGGAAGTACTGTGCATGGGCTCCCCCCTCTCTGTGACTCCCTCATCTACAGTCCTCCTCTCCGCCTGAATCAAAACACCCTCTTCGAAGATTTCTTCCCTCGCCCACAATGTCATACGCGAACGGTAACGCATTCCCAGACGAGGATGTCGAGGAGGAAACCCTCGTGGCAGACTATCAAGAGCAAGTGAACAACTATGATGAGGGCGCAGACTTGGAGCGTGGAGACTCGATCATCAGTGGCGGACCAGCAGATTTGCGAGCGCAACTTGAAGCCGCCGCGGCTCCTCTGGAGTTCCAAGCGAGCTTGGAGACCAAGTGAGTTGTCCAGTCTGATTCTCTTCGCCCAGAATCTATTGTTTCTGCTGGGATATGTCTTTTGGGAGGAATGGGACTAATAAAGCCTCCCCAGATTTCAAAGCTATGACAACTACTGCTCACTTTTCCACTACATCCTCAACTCCGATGGCCCTGTAGAAATTGAGACACCCTCCTACTACTGGGCTTGGGATGTGATCGATGAATTCATCTACCAATTCGAATCATTCTGTCGCTATCGTAACCGGGTCGCCCGCACTGCACCTACGGAAGAAGAGGCGCAAATTCTGCGAGACAATCCAAACACATGGGGCTGCTACAGCGTTCTTAACGTCCTGTACTCATTGATCCAGCGCTCGCAGATCAACGAACAGCTTGCTGCCACGAAGAGAGGGGAAGATCCCATGGCAGTGGCGGGCGAGTACGGCTCACGTCCTCTTTACCGTATGCTCGGATACTTCTCCATCATCGGTCTTTTGCGAGTGCACTGTCTCCTTGGAGACTTCAGTCTTGCCCTTAAGACCCTGGACGACATCGAAATGAACAAGAAAGCCATGTTTGCCCGCGTCATGGCTGCGCATTTGAACACCTACTATTATGTCGGCTTCTCTTACATGATGCTTCGTCGTTATGCGGACGCCGTGCGCATGTTCAGCCACATCCTGGTGTACGTATCTCGCACCAAGAATTTCCAAAAGGGACCCAATCAAGGGCAGTTCGACGCCATCGCAAAGAAGACCGAGCAAATGTACGCTCTCATCGCCATCTGTGTGTCTTTTGCGCCCACTCGCTTGGACGACTCCATCCACACGGCCCTTCGCGAAAAATACGGCGAGAAGTTTGCAAAACTGCAACGCGGAGGCACAGACAGCTTGCCAATCTTCAAAGAGTTGTTCCAATCCGCATGCCCCAAATTCATCACCCCTACACCACCGGACTTTGATAACCCTTCGTTGAACATCGACCCTGTTGATCACCACACCGAGATCTTCATGGACGAAGTCCGCAACACTCTCTTCAACCCCCTGATCAAATCTTATCTGAAACTCTACACAACAATGAGCATTCAGAAACTCGCCGGCTTCTTGGAAGTCGAGCCCGAAAAGCTTCGCAGCTGGCTACTCGTGAACAAGCAGCGAAGTTGTCGGCAAATACGCTGGACCGAGGGTGGTTTATTGGAAGGCGAGATTGTGGGTGTGTTGGGCAACGGAAGCTCAGAGGGGCTGGATTACGCCATCGAGGGTGATTTGATTCATATCAGTGAGGCGAAGCAGGGCCGACGCCTGGTGGACTGGTATTTACGGAATCTGGCAAGATCCTACTAAGCAAGAAGATAAAGGGGAAACAATGCAGGTGATGACCACGATCGGGGTATGGGTTCGTTGGGCAGAGACGATGTGAGAAGAAAATGGAGGTGTTCTCAAGAACTTATGCTAAGACGGGCTCGTTCCAGAAGCACGAGAGCAAGCGCCACGCCAAAGATGTCATGAGTCATGTCGTGTCCGGAGAGAGCGAGAGGAACACGTTCCCCCCGAGGTCTGCCTTACAACCCTCTCCAACCTGAAGTTATGGTTGACATGACACCTCCCTGAACTTCAGCCTGCCAACGGCTTCGTTCTGAAGCAGAGTGTGTTCCCCGCCGCCTCGTCAGTAGGAATCATCAGACACAAAGTGACTTACCTATTGTACAAGGCAGCGCGTCCTCTTTTACCTGACCTGCTGCAACAGAAAAACCCAGCGGCATGTGTCATGTACGGTTGAACGACCATTACGCGCGGCTGGGCGAAACGAGATTGAGGCAAAGCGAGGCCAGGGGAAAAAAAGTAAATCGTACCTCTTCATGTCTAGAAAGGCAGGAAACACGCCAGAAATGTGATTTCAGTTTTTGACTTTTTTGTCTCTTGTCCTTTTGTGTCCTTAAGGGCCCCCTCCCCCGAACCCGTGGTATTCATCATGGCTGGTTCGTTTGAGCTTTGTGACCCAGCCACCTGCCTAGCTAGCACCCAGAACGAAGATAACATGGTTGGTGTTTTTAAAAAGTCTTACAAGTCTTACAGAGTATGGTGGCAAGCAGCATGCCGTCCGTCAATGTCAATCGTCCCGCATCTCCTCATCCTCGCCATATGCATCTTCGTCGGCGCTGGCGTCTCTGTCCCTTGCGGCAGCTGCATTCCCATTTACAGGTGGAGGTGTATTCCTGTCGTCGGCGCGGTCTTTGCGAGGAGCCCCGTTGTTCATGCTCACCTCGGCGGCCTCCGCGTCCTCCACCTCCGCCATGCTGACATCCTGTGCGCCCTCGTGCAGCTCGCCCTGCTCCTGCAAAATCGCATCTGCGTGTTCGGCTTCTTCCTCGGCCTGCGCTTCCCGGGTCAATTCCTCGTATTCATCTCTGAATGCACTGTCGTATTCCCCTCTGAATTCGGCGCGCGAGCGTCGTTCTTTTGCGTTGGGCTCTTTGAAGAGCACCATGACTTGGTCGGGGATATCGTCGTCTGCATTGTTGTTGCTGTTGTTGCGCGTTCCGGAGAGATTACCCCTATCGGCTCTCATTTTCACGCGTTCGAGGATCGGATAGTAATACGCCGCGTTGCCTTGCTTGCGGAAGCGGGAGCCGCGGGGAAGGTTATTGGCATCGACCAGTGACAATGCCATGATGCGATGTGGGTCGACTGTGTCTTGCGTGGCTTTGGGATATACACGAACACGTTCAAAGGGTAGACGTAACGAGCCGTCGGCGGATTCTTCCAGAAGTGGTCCCATGAGGCTGGGATCGTCCTTTCGAGGATTTGAGTCGTCAAATAGCTGCCGTATGCGCGAGGTCGAGTCTGGCTGTTTAGGAACGGAGAGAGACCATGTATATGGCTCTGGCCCGGGATCTGCGAATTTTTCAGGATCTCTGTCAAAGGCCTCTTTCGCGGCCCGCCAAGCTGGCATCAGAGCTGCGTTCTCCGAAGCCATTAATATACCAACATCAATCCGATCATCCCTTCTCCCTTTGTAGGGCGGTAATGGTGGCTTGTCAAACTTGAGGGCTTGCCAATTCGAGGCCATATCTGTGCCGGTCTCCAGATCCGGGATGACGGGGTAGAAGTCCACAGGCTTGAGTCTGGGGTTATCGGGATGGACGGGATTCTTCCAGGCGTCTCGTTCCTGGGGAGTGATGGGGTTCGCTTTAGCCTCTGGAGGGTTAAAGGGGATGCTGTCCGGATAGGCCAGGTCGAAGCCTTTCTGAATCTGTCGCTTGATATTTTCTGGATCGTCTCGGGTGACAGGCACAGGAGCTGCTTTGGGCGTCTGGGGTTTCTGAGTCCGAGGGCTTGCCCGCATGAAAGCATCATTTGCCCGGGCCATTTGTGAAGAGGTCATGTATTGTGTCTTGCGCAAGAATGAGACGTTGTTCTTTGCACCCTGGCTCTTCAGTTGATCCAGCGACATCAACAACGCTTGGTCGGCAGCGTCGAGCACAGGTTGGACTTCGGGAGCCATGATTGCGCTTTCGTCGCCGAGAAAGTAGCCTGGGACACCGATCATATCTATCGGCATGCCTCCTTCGGCGTCCACCTCAATGTTTGGTTCTTCTCTCTTCGCCAGACCCGACGCATAACTTGTTGTGAGGTATTGAGCCAAACCACCAGTGTCAATGTCTAGAACTGCGAACGTGTGTTAGCATCGAGATCCCAGTCTTTGTCGGGCCATCTGCGACTTACACTTTGGAGGCATGGGAGGTGGAGGCAGGTCATTTCGATATCGTATCGAAACGACCATGTCCTGCTTGAAGCCCTTAGCCTCTGCCATCTTGACTGGTGTCGTTTGTAGAGCGCGGCGGGGAGTGAGGCGACGGGAGTCGGGAGAAAGCGGTAGACAATGAGCCGCGCCCTTACGGAGAGACTGGCATCCTTGTGTTTCTAAAGGAGCGCAAAGAACGGAGATTGTATGCTAAGTGGTTTGTTACCCAAGCGCAGTCTCGCCTCGCTCAATTTGGGTGCTGGTGGGTGGACGAAATCTCCAAATCGCGCTGCTGGGGAAGTTGCGAACGGAACTGGACAGTCAGACAGCGAATCGAAGTGGAGCAATTCAAGCGAAACCGAAAGTCTTCCTTGTCGCCGCAGTTTGGGTCCGGGTTCATGATTTCTCTTCCGGCTTTCACTTTTCTCTCCTCCAGATTCACGACCTGATTCCTTTGTATTCACAACTTCATCATCCTCGCATTCTGTCCAGGTGTCAGTCCTTCCAACAAGAAAAAATGGGCTGGTTCTGGGCCGACGCACCCAAAGTCAGCGCACTTCCTACAGCGCAACCATCCGCCGCCGCTCCTCCGGTATGCTACGCATCTTGGTATAGATACGATGGTTGAACGACTAACTCTCCAAAGCCAGGATGTCCGATGCATAAGGCAGACAACGGAAACCCTACACCCTTTCCACCACAGCTCGATCCCTCAACGTCAACACCTTCATCATGCCCAGTCAAGTCTCCGAACCACCCGCTGCGACATCAACCGGCAGAATCACCGAGTCAGACTCGATCGCCTGAGCAAAGACCTCCGCCATCGACCTCTTCAACACTATCCAAGCTCAATCCCTTGAATTACATGCCCTCTCTGTCTAATAGTCGCCCGGAAGACTCCCCTCAATCAATACATTTGCCTCTTGACCGGGAACTGTCCTCGATTCCGCGCAGTGATTCGCAGTCGAACTGGGAGTATCCCTCCCCACAGCAGATGTACAACGCAATGCTGCGCAAAGGCTACACCGACACCCCCGCAGAACACGTCGAAGCAATGGTCGCCGTGCACAATTTCTTAAACGAGGGAGCGTGGGCAGAGATCGAGGAGTGGGAGCGGATCTTCGGCAGAGGCTTATGGAAGGGGTGGGAGACATGTTTGCGGGGCGAACAGGCCATTACTCTCGATCGGGCGAGGCAGGAATACGCCGCTCAACGACGATTAGCCCTTGGGTTAAATCCGGACTCTCTGGAGGACGAGTCGAAACCAACACTTATCCGCTTCCAAGGCCGTCCCAAAGAACCTTCGCCCAAGGCTCGAATCCTACAGATGCTTGGCAAAGTCTTCCCGGACCATTTCTCCCAGGAACCTCCCTTTGACCGACATGACTGGTACATCTCGCGGAAGCTCCCCAACGGGTCGACGAAAGAGGTGCGCTATGTTATAGACTATTACGGAGGGGGTGTCGAACAGGAAACAGGCCAACCCGTCTTCTACTTGGATATTCGACCCGCGTTGGATACACCGACGGCGGCTGTGGAGAGGGCGATGAGATGGGGAGGGGACGTGTGGCATCGAGCATCAGGGGGAGCGGCAAGGGAGGCCACAGCACGAACAAAGGAGAATTGATCATGATTGACGCGCCCCGAGCGGACTGCCATGACTGACACGACGAGAACCGGGGGCAGATGTGATAATCTAGCCCAGTTTGGCTTCTTCTGGCTTCGTCTCTTGTTACCTGATCCGGGGTTGCAATTCCGAGGCAAGAAAGCGATCTCTAATGGGACACAGTTCAGTGGGGCGCCTTTTGAGCCTTTATTAACGTCTGGCTTTGTACAGCCCTTTGGTATCTTGCAGCTTCCAGGTCTCATGTGTCGGGTCCCATCTTCCAGTAGGGCCTGGAACCCTCTCCTCTTCTATAACATAGCGATGTAATAATGTCCTGTAGAATAGCTTGTACACGAATCATGGCCAGTTTCCACGTCTGTCTGTACCTTCCCTGTAAAGATAACTCGGTCTGTTTCCGATCGCTGGCTTTCTACTCTTGCGGGGGGTATAATGAATTGAAATGGTGAGGTGAGGTGAGATATCGGTTATTATATGGCCTGTGGCGCACCGCTTGTAATATTGAACCGCGCAATGGGGGTGGCATGGATCCATTAGGGGAATCGGGGGCGCGACATGGCGGTTGACTGGCCCGTCAGTCTTTGTCGTTTTCGCTAGACCGAACATGGCTTGATGGTGATGTGGCTCTGTGCGCACATCCAGACTGGACCAGTGTTATTGAATCCCGTGTTGATGTAGACGAGTCGAGTCGTTGACCCTACAAGCATCCGCCCAGATGCCTTGCCAGATCGAAGACTGCAGCCACGGCATGTACAGCAGTCCGAACATGACCTGCTCGACCTCCTCCCAGGTCGAGAGTCCCAGCTCCTGGGCGACCTGCGCCAACGAGTCTGTGAAGAACATCTGTTCCGGCTGCTTCAGGGCGTTTTGGACAAAGACGAAGAGAGCCCAACAGATGACTATCGCCTCGTCCGCGTCCTCAGACCGTTTTTCGCGCATCCATTTTTCAAACACCTTTTTCTGATGGTGAGTCAGAGCCCTCCCGATCCCGCTGGCCGCGAGGATTGTGTGAGGAGCAACGGACAGCATTCCCAGGCCTGCGAGGCGGACGACACCTTCTAACGCTGGTATGTCTGGCTCGTTGTCGCTGTTGCGGGAGAAAATCTCTGTTTCATAGGGATATGCCAGCAGATCATATTCTACCTCAGTCGCTTTCCGCCGCAAGCTCAGGGTTTCTGCAGGTGACGGACGTCCACGAGGTGTGGTCTGCATTTCGCAAAGACGGCATATGTCACTGGAGACAATGAAGAGTAGTTTCAAGGGCCGGCTAATATTTTGCAGCTCCCTGAAGTTCTGTCCCATGCGAGTCATCTCAGCGGGAAGATGCTGATCAGCACGGGATAGAATCTCTTCAGGTAAAGGTTCGCGCGTGATCAGTAGCGGAAGGACAGGGCGCACAAGTAGTCCAACCGAGACTTTGACATTGGACAGTGGTAACCACATCATCGTCTCCTCAGGCAAGTTCATCCGTGAAGTTAAACGCTCGAGAATGTTTAGATGTATTCGAGCCTCTGCAAAATTGCCCACGACTGTAGCGGCCGATATCAGCCCAAAGCAGGCCTCGACCATCTGGTAATCTACATCCGCACGCTGTTCGAACGTCCGACGAACGGCCACCATTGCTTCATTTTTCACTCTGATGTAGTCTGGGTCGAGGATGCGGTCATCGTGGTTCGCATTGGCATTGGCATTGGCAGGTGCAAGGTCTTCATGTCTGCCATAGAAGACAGCCCGGTGAGCTGCAGTCGTGGCCATGAAGCCAAGGAATGTGGCAGGGTTCGACATCTTGCTATGCATAACCATTTGTTGCCGGGCAAGTCTAGCATGAGCTTGCCTCGTCTCAACACAGAACGACAGGGGGAGCATCACATCAAAGCCTGGACTAACTGTCAGGGTCTTGCAATCGATACGACTGACACGATAAACTTACAATACTGTAGTAAACTTTCTGAAGTCTGGCGAGGCAAACTGTTTGTCGGTAAGGTATCAAATGGATCAAAGGATTGCGCAGCTGGGGTAATATTGAGGCGTGGGGACGGAAGGGGAGACTGCGTATGCCGAATTATATCAGTCCCAGGACCGATCATTGGACTACTGGCGCTGCGGTCGATTGATTCGTTGCTCAAGGATGGTTCAGAGTGAGTAGATTCGCTTCGGGCGTTGGACTTGCTGCTGTCATTGGGACGGTGGCGCCCAATTGACCTCTTTTTCCCTTGAGCCAACTCCACCTGGCGAACGCGTTGCATGACATGGGAGCGGATAGCATGCCGTTGCTCTCTGTTGCTGATCCTTCTGTGAGACACCGAAACCAAGTCCTCAGCCTGATGCACAAAGGTGAAATTGGTAGGAGAACCGGCTTGAGGGTCTGGTGGGCGAGACCCATCAGCCGAGTCTAGGGAGTGGTTAGTTGTGTTGTCGACGATTGCACCCGGTTGCGGATATATCCATACCTGTACCATGCGAGCCACGGCGCATCTTCTTAGGTCCATCAGCTCAGGGGGAGGGCTGACCCAACAAACTGCCTCTCGGTTTTGTGGGAGGCGACAACGTAACCACAGAATGTCATATCAGTTTAATAGCTGAGTCCACCAAGAAGCTATTGCATGCTGACGCGGAAATGTAGGGTTCCAGAAGTGGGAGACCACCGTCAAGGTGTCCCCAACAGGATCGCTTGTCAAGTTATAGATGCAGACGTAGCGTGTGGCTGCCATTCCGCAGCCACGTGCAATTCAACCCAAGATCCACGATCCGGCCCCCCTCTTGGACGGAATAGACCTCGGAACTTGCTTAAAGTCAAATAGGAGCATGAGGCTAATCGACGAACGAATTGCTGGGAACGGCCCGATAGGAGGTGGTGGAGCTCGCTCGAACTCAAGACCTAGCAGGATCAACATCGCCTTTGTCAGACCCTTTGCAGACCGCTGTTACGTGCTCTTCAGGATTCGGACTCAATGACCTGAGCAGACCTCCTTGACACCTCGCTTCTTCTGACGAGGAAGGTAAGAGCTTCTTCAGGCTAGTTGGCGACAGGGGGTTTTATCAAGGAATATCGAGTGGTAAGGTAGCTGTTGTAGTTGAATAGTATTGTGATCAGGCTGGCGGACTAAACGTTCAACCAATGCTTGCGCGGACACCTGCTTACAAAGACAGACACCGACCTTGGGATCCATCGCTGCGACCTTGCAACGAGTGGACTGCGTTTGGCAAAGCATGGGTAGGCGCGGTTAAAACACCTGGCACGACAAAGGCCGGTGGCATCAGCAAAGTGGTCGGGAGAGCCCCGGGAGGCGTACGGCATCCCTTGGCTGCGTTGCAGGTTTCAATAGTGTTCTAGAAAATGGTAAGTAGGACTTCTCTGTATCCAGCTCGGTCAGGGATCGGGTTGACTCCGTTCCTTTGCCTCCGTCGTTCGTATTCGCAGCATGCCCGGCGGACTCCGGCAATCTAATTGGGGGTTCTAGGCTTGTGTAACAGTGGCTGGGTACCCTATCCGATTCTCAGGTAAGCGGTCATGTTGATATGAATGAATAACCGGCAGTTGGCATGAGTGCTGCTCTGGCTACCCAGTGTATCAAATGCAGAGATAGACGCCTCACACGCCCGGGAGGTGAAGTGTCCTAGCTCCCTTTCCGGTCAGACTATGCCATCTCTTGTCATCTCTGGGGATTGCCCTAACGATGCTAGAGGTTGCGTGACATTGGATCGTTTCCGAACAGGCATGTGTGTGAGTTGAGTTGAGTTGAGTTGCGGGTGGGAACTTCACCGACGGGATCCATAGTTGCGCGCAGTTCGCCAAAGCAGCTGAATTGTTCGATTGGGTTTCAGCTTTTATTAGCCGAAGTATTGCCGAAGAGCTTAGTACGCCTGTCGCGGACTCGAAGTGACCTGACTCGAGAAAAACTTAAGTAATCGCTCGTGTCTGTTTGGACATATCTTTTGCCACTCTCCAGTGCCCAGAACAAATCCCTGCGTTGGATATCAAATAACAGGTGTGGTCTACGCCCAAGTGCTCCATCTGTTGCATCACAGAACACCTTCCTCTTCACCGAAAATCCTTGCTAGCATGAAATATACGACAATGCCGCCCGCTATAATCCACATCTTGTTTCTCCAGACCCAACTTTGACCCGCATCCCTCGCAGCCTGGCCACCTTGGACCACGACTCCGACACCGGTGCTCCCTCCCAGGATCCGTCGCAAGGCTCTCGTCTCCGGCGAGCAATTGATCTCTTCGCCCTCTTCGTCGGGAAGCATCCGACCAGTGGCTGGATCAATGCGATGCTCTTTTATCCAAACCCAATTTTCCTTGTCCTCGTCAGGGAATTCTAACCGGAATTTGATACCGCCGTCCCCTGCTTTAATGTTGTTGATCCCCCTTGTAGTCGGCTGGACACCGGGAACGGGTTTGGAGGCTGAGCCGCCCCCAGTAGAGTTCCACCATCTTGACCTCGCTGCATGCCATTTTCTTTCGGCAGGTGACCCGCTAATGCTCCCTGCTGTCATCTCCTCGCTGTTCATAAATGACATAAGCCCTATCAGTATGGTCGACACTGACCACGCAGGGTTAAATAGTTGAGGATGATAGTCGGAAATACTCAAACAGAGCCTCGTAGAAGGTTGAAACCGGCCTGAGGGAGTATGCATTCGACTAATGTACGTTAGTCGACCAGAAAGTTCTGTCAGAGATAGAAATGCCGCAGCACCGGGATAAAGATCCGTCGCATGACTTTGGGAGGACTTACATCGCAGGCGGAGCGAAAGGATAGTCAGGCGGGAAAATTAAAGTACCCTGGCTTGCCATTAATATCCACCCTGATTGTACACAGCGGAGTCGCCAGCCTGGCACCGGTCTGTAGGCCCGGGATTGCTTACATGGTATTGTCCTCCTTCTGTTGTTGGCAAAGAGAGCGTAAGTGACTCTATTCGGTTCAATTCTGAGAACTTTAGAACCTACCATATGGTGTATTTGGGGCCCCAGTCAGAATATAATGCCATTCTAGTATGTTATTTTCACTTGGGTGTGCTTGTATGTATGGTGGTGGAGAACGCTGAATTGCCTCATACTCCCGGATCAGTCGTTTATGGGCGGCTTTGGTGGCCATGTTCGTGAAAGAGTGGTCGTCGACCGGGTGGATCCTGATGATAAAGGGTCGGTAAAAGACTGAATATCAGTATGATAACATGCCACAGCGCAGGACAAAAGGAGAATCAACTGTTTTGTGTGATAAAGCTGCGAGATTAAGAGAATGAGAGTGAACGACAAAGACACGCGAGCATTGCGCAGTCAGATGGCGGTTAGCTACCTCATACTTGTAGAGGGCCGAATTAGGGCAAGTCTGCCGAGAATCGATCCCCATCCGCAGCATGTGGGTCAACAAAGGTACCTGTGCATTTTCGCAGCACAGCTCCCGCATTAATAGTGCAGTTCTCCCCAGAGATCTTCATCACCAGTCGCAAGTGAAGCCTGCCCGCTGACCGGGCTCAATGGCAAACCCAGCTTCAAATGGGTCGGAGGAAAGCATCTTCCAGCTGTTGAAACAAGCCGACACAAAAGAGCTGGAAACCCGAGAAAAGGCTATCAACGAGCGGTTACATCGCACATTTCAGCTCGGCCAACAGCGTCTTGCAGACCTTATCGACCAGAATTCGACTCTGCCCACGACCGTGTCGTCAGTGACTGTCCTCGGAACTCAGAATACGAGACATGGCTTCCTCGGAGCAGTGGTAAACCCTCTATTGAGCGCCAACCGCGACCGACCGTATACTCAATCTGAGCTCATACATGAAGTCGCAAGAACGGCTGAGAAGCTGAGGAAATTTGGTATGGTAACACCCTGGCTCTTGTCGCAGCTTTGTCTTACTGTAATTTAGGCATCTATCACGACCCAATTTCAGTCTACCTCGACAAACCCTCCAAGACTGACCCGACAACTACACCAACCGATGTTGCCATATACTACTCAGTGAAGGAGAAAAGCCGGATATTTGCAAAGACTGGAACAGATCTTGGTAACGCAGAAGGGTCAGCTTATGCAAATGTGCAATGGAGGAATCTCTTGGGCGGTGCAGAAACCCTTGACGTAAATGCGTCCATCGGCACGCGCACACGCTCCTCCTACCAAGCTACTTTCGACACCCCTGTGCTGAGCAACCCTGATCTGCGATTTCAGGTTGGTGGATTGCAGAGCGCGACACAGAAAATCTTTGCCAGCCACGAAGAAGTGCTGAAGGGAGGCTGGACCAAGTTGCGATGGCAAAGTTCGGCCGCGTCGTTTCATGAAATAGGGTACAACGGTTTCTGGCGACAGGTGACCGGGCTCGCACCCAATGCTTCACAGACTGTCAGATCCGAAGCAGGGGACTCTTTCAAGAGTAGCATTTCTCACATGTGGATGGCGGACCGAAGAGACAACGCTTTACTACCAACCAGAGGCTACTATGCCAAAACGTCCGCAGAACTGGCAGGATGGGGCCCCTTGCAAGGTGATGCAGCGTTTTTAAAAAGTGAAGTTGAGACTCAGTCGGCACTGTCGATACCAGTTCCGGGCATCAAGGGCGACAGCGGTGTCAGCTTCACGACCGGGTTCCGTGCCGGCCTGCTCTACCCTTTGACTCTAGGATCGAAGCAGAATCCAGAAATGTCACGGATAAACGACCGATTTCAGCTGGGTGGTCCCACGGATGTTCGAGGCTTCAGACTATCGGGCTTAGGGCCTCACGATGGTCCGGATGCAGTAGGGGGCGACATTTATGCAGCTGGGAGCGCCAATCTTCTTTTTCCTCTCCCTAAAGTTGGAAAGGATAAGCCTCTACGGTTTCAGGCCTTCATCAACGGTGGGAGGTTACTGGCGATAAGGAATGCAGAAAAGGAGGGTGCAATGACGAGCCAGGAAGTTCGGCAAAGCGTTACAGACGCTTTTTCGGAGCTGGGGAATGGACTTCCAACAATGTCAGCTGGAATAGGGCTGGTCTATGCGCATCCGGTGGCGCGGTTTGAACTCAACTTCTCATTGCCGTTGGTCTTTCGAAGACAGGAAGAGGCCAGAAAGGGTGTGTCTTTCGGTATCGGCATAAACTTCCTGTAGTGTTGTAACAGCATTAGACAAAATTGTACATATGAGCAGCATGGCCAGTAATGACCCGTGGGGAAATGAAATCCTCCACAGACGGAACGAGGCTGAGGAAAGGCCAACTGGCCCAAAAGGCGCCGGGTTGGGCACCAGCCAGTCAGAATGCCTCCACAGCGGAGTTTGGTTCTCGAGGCACTCCGAACACATTTGCAAACGTGTACCTAAATAATTAATCTTATCCCCTCCAGCACTCTACAGACCATACATCTCGCCTCGCAAGACATTGACGAGTCGTCTGCCAGTTGCAGCCCTCTCTTCAAGCTGTTCCTCTTCCGGGCTCTAAGAGCAAAGACCCCTAAACATCTCACGGGGACCTGCACCACAACATACTCGACGGCCTGCGTGGCCCAAGTCAAGCATGTCATACTTCAACCAACCCTATGGCGCTGGTGCAGGCGCAGGTGGCGCTGCTTCGAACCTTCAGTTCTATCCCTCCTCCTACTCAAACGTTTCCGGCCACACCACGCCATCGCAGGCCTCTTACGGTGGATATGGTGGTACAAGTAACACCGCAAGCGCATATCCGGGATATGGTGCAGGCTCCTCAGGAGGCTTTGGAGGTGGAACCGGGATGCAGGGTGTTAGTGGTCGCATGGGGGATTCTGGCGGATTAAGAACAGGCTGGCTCGCCGCGTTTGGAACCGAGGGGTATGAAGGAGAGCCCGGGTTGATGGAGGAGCTGGGAGTCAATTTCGGACATATCAAAACGAAGGTAACTCGCTGCGAATACAAGATCTCGGGGTAAAAGAAGATTGAACTGATTATGGCATGAACAGACCCTCACAGTCCTGAATCCGTGGACGCGTCCTTCACCCCACATTATGGACGACAGTGATCTCTACGGGGGTCTTCTGTTCCTGATCCTTTACGGAACCTTTCTCGCTCTCTCGGGAAAATTCTTCTACGGCTACATCTATGGCATTGCGCTCTTTGGATCTATAGCTCTGCACTGGATGTTCGCGCTCATGACACCGCCCATCGATCCCAATGATTCAGATCAAATGGCGCAAGCCCAGCGAGATCATGGGCAAGGGCCCGGCGGCCGTGGTCACGGAGGCCACTTCTCTAGCACACTCACATACTCGCGAAGTGCAAGTGTTTTGGGGTACTGTTTTCTGCCTCTTGTCTTCACCTCCTTGTTTGGGGTGCTGCTGCCTATGGACACGGCCATGGGATACATCATGACGGCGATGGCGGTGGGATGGTCCACGTTCAGCAGTTCTGGGATGTTTGTCAGTGTGGGAAGAATGAAAGGCATGAGGGGCTTGGTGGCATATCCTCTGGCACTGTTTTACTCGGGGTTTGGCATCATGGGAATCTTTTCGAGCCGGGGAAGTGGCATGCTGGAAGGAAAAGTGCTTTGACGACATTTGGATTGATTTTGTGGTGAAATGAACTTATGTCTGGATCCAAAGGGCCGGACTACCTCATGAGGGCTGGGCCTTGGTCATCAGAGCACCTCGTCGGTTCATCACTATTCTGGGTGCGGACAGTGAGGCGAGGCAGGATGGAGGAAGGTGTATGCCCCGATGTCCAACTAGGCTTCAGATCGGTGTGACGATACACTTTGACCTGACCAACCCTTCAGCGCTGTACGGTCCACACGCTACACGTCACATCATAAGGTGGTTAGCGCGGTGGGCAGCTTGCCTGAGCCAACGAACTGCCCGCCAATCAGTAGAGGATGAGATCCAGAGCCTCATACGATGGTGTTTATAGATTCGGCGCACTCTTGGGGTCGACGCCTGGGCCAGAAGAAAGGAGACTCATATAAGACTCTAGCCGGATAGTGACACGAATATTATGTAACGGACATCACCGCGACCATGAATATTTTGATTCTTTTCAATACTTTTTCTTGCCCGCGACTGAAGAGGGAAAATCGACGGAACGCATCGACACTTTGCTGTCCCTCCCTCCCACGCTGGGCTGGATGTGTGTAGACCTTGGGCGACCATGGAGATCTTCGGTATGCTAGGTGAGAGGCTGGGGACGATTGGCAAGGTCGAGAAGAAGGTGGAAGAGGCGGTGCTTCCTCGATGGAAGAAGGATTTCTTGCAGAAACCTTCCGTCTCGGTGCGGAAAGGGATTGCGTGGGTAAGTCTTGATTGAGGCCGCGATGGTAGACGGTGAGCGCGAGTTTCCTGGCTTGTGGCTATCAACAAGGCAATTTGGTGTGTTCAAGGCATTCAGTCCAACTCGAGATTTGTGTGATGTTACGACCCAAATTGGCCATATTTCTAACTTCATGGCGGCTACGGACAGGGCTACACTCCCCCCTACGAAGACACCGACACGCTCGTCCTGACATCGACCCAATCGTCCTTCATCGACATCAGATTCCCTGTCAAGCGACAGTTGTCCAAGCCAATAACGTCGGACCCATCCTTCTGGGCCTTCTCCGGAACGTCCCACACGACATTTTCTCCGTTCGAGGGCGAAACTGTCTCAATGCCATACTCGGCGCACAATGTGTGGAAGCATGACATCGACTCAAAGGGGCCGGGTATCGTCGATGAGGGGGATTTATTTCTCCTCCCCAACGGCGACTGTATGGAAGTGGGGATGATGCAGAACCCTCGCACGGGCAACGACGAGATGTACAAGGAATACTGGACGGGGCCGCCCACGGGTGTGAGTTCAGCAGGGGCTGGGCCTGAAAGCTGCGTTGTTGCGAAGACGCACGTCTCATCCGATGGTCGAAAGGGTCAAGACGCGGCCGGGATCATCATTAGGGTAGGCAATTACTGTCAAAGCATCATGCGCCAGGGCACAGGTGAGCAAGGTCAGTCTGAAGAAGGAAATACCGTTCTGGTGGAGAGATGGACGCGAAGTGGCGCTGAGACCGCGTCAAGCTGGGTCCAGGACTGGCGCAGCAACACGCCCTGCGACAGTGGAATCTTCATGCCATGCATGTGGGTGTGCGACGGGAGCAGGAAACTCGGAGATGAGATTGTCGTCAAGGGTATCGCCTGGAGAATTGTGGAGTTGGATACGACGGGAACCTAACTCAAGGACCAGCCTGGAGAAAGACACGAGAGACTCATGATAATGAATGTAAATGCCGAGAAATGTTGCTTCGCTGTGCGGGAGGGAGGTTTATTGTCTGTGGCAATATGTACTAAATTCGGAGTGGATTGACGATCGGTAATGGACGTCTACTACGAGAAACATACTTCCGCGAGGAAAAGTCGGAAACAAAGCCAGGCGTACATCTGTGGACGCGGGTACATGCTCACCATCACAATCGATATACATGTACTCGTACTTGTCGACTCATCCGATGCCACAGGTGGCTGTGTCATCCAAGTGGTTTGTTCCCCATCCGTGGATTTCTACACTAGGCTGGAGGCAATCCTCTCCATTTGATGATTCGTGGAAGATTTGCGATCCGAGCGAGCAACTGAAGCCAAGCCTTGAGCCGACTGTTACTAGCGTACCGAAGATGAGCCGAAACCCAATCATAGCAACGGTGATGATTCTGCGCAATCTCGTCCCTCCAATACCGAAAGAACTTTTCCATGTCTTCACCTTCTTCCCTCTCCCGTGTATGTGTCTTGTAACTAAATTCTGCCTCGGTCAGGCCGAAACTCCGCGACTCTACCTGGGGCGTGTCTCCCCGAGGATCCTAGAGACCCTTTTATGGAGTTGGTGGGCCTCATCCCGGGACCCAGACTTCACGATTCAGCTCTCCCAAGGTTGTGGACACCACATATCTTGTTTGGGGGATACGGCAGCTACGGGTCTATGATGGTGCCGATCAACGCTCGGGATTCCACCGATGTGTCTGCCTGGTGTAGCGGCCAGGAAGGTATGGCCCATATGGAGCCGCGGGGACTCACTTCTAACTAGACATACAAACATGGCCCTTTCCGTCTGCTATCGACGAATCTCACGTCCGTGAAGTTTCCTTCCCTGACGAGCCGAAGTTCTGCCATTGGTGTCTCCGTTGACTATTTGTCGAATCATCACTGGGCATTGTCACCATTGGCAATCCAAAGTTCCATATAATACGTTCCCCCCCCGGGGGATCTATACAGGTCTATGAATCTTGATTAGTTACCCATCTATTAATTGTCATTTTCCGTCTTTTGTGTTCTTCCATCATTTCCTAGGACACCATCAAAATGGGGTCCTTACCTGTCCAGACTAGTTTCGATGTCGAAGACGTGCTCTCGCAACTGAACACGCCAGAGAAAGTCGCCTTGTTGTCTGGCATTGACTTCTGGCACACCGCTCCCGTACACCGTCTGGGAGTTCCATCGATACGAGTATCCGACGGTCCCAATGGTGTTCGTGGCACTCGGTTCTTTAATGGGGTTCCTGCTGCCTGTCTTCCTTGTGGTCAGCTACGCTTCATCACCGAGCGCCTTCGTGATGCTGATACCTTACAGGCACTGGACTCGCAGCAACATGGGACACCAAGCTCGTCGGAAAGGGTGGAGCATTACAGGGTGCTGAGGCCATCGCCAAGGGAGCATCCGTCATTCTCGGCCCGACGACAAACATGCAAAGATCACCGTTGGGCGGTCGTGGGTTCGAGAGCTTCAGTGAAGACCCATATCTAGCTGGCGCCATGAGTTCTGCAACTATAAACGGCATCCAATCGACCGGCGTTGCTGCTACGATCAAGCACTATGTCTGCAATGACCAAGAGGACCAGAGACAAGCCATCGACAGCATCCTGACAGAACGAGCCCTACGAGAGATCTACCTGATGCCTTTCATGCTTGCGCAGAAAGACTCCAAGCCAGATTGCTACATGACTGCCTACAACAGGGTCAATGGTACGCATGCGAGTGAGAACCCACGATTGATCAAGGATGTTCTTCGTAGCGAATGGGGCTTTGACGGGCTCGTGATGAGCGACTGGTAAGTCCCAGCTTTGTAATACTCGAGCCACAAATTTCTGACTGAGGCAGGTTCGGAACTTACTCAACCACCGAGGCGATCAAAGCAGGCCTCGACCTTGAGATGCCCGGTCCTACCTATATTCGTGGACACTTAGTCAACCAAGCTCTGGGCTGTGGCAAGCTGACGCTGCCTGATATCGATGACAGAGTTCGCGAGGTCTTGAAGCTGGTCAAGAAAGTCCAGTCTCTTGGTATCCCAGAAAACGCGCCCGAAACCACGGTCGACACCCCCGAAACGGCCGCTCTTCTTCGTGCGCTGTCATCTGATGGAATCGTCCTAATGAAGAATGACAACAACATTCTGCCTTTCAAGAAGGACAAAACCACTGCCATCATTGGCCCCAATGCGGCTTATGCAGCCTATTGTGGTGGCGGGTCAGCTTCACTGTTGCCATACTATGCTATCAGCCCCCTCGATGGAATTCGAAAACAAGTGCCAGACGCGAAGTATGCTCTCGGTGCCCCGGGCTGGAAAGCGTTACCGCTCATGACCCGCTTGACCAAGACCAAGAAGAGTGAAAATGGCTTGACGATGAGGGTCTTCCTGGAACCCGCATCCGTGACGAATCGCAAGGCAATTGATGAGGTGCTTGTGAACAAGTCAGACATCCTTCTGGTCGATTACAAACACCCTCTTATCAAGTCATCCCTCTATTGGCTCGAATTAGATGGCACTTTTACCCCTGAAGAGACGACCGACTACGACTTCAGTCTGTGCTGCGCCGGCACGGGAAAAGTCTTTGTGAACGGAAAATGTGTTGTCGATAACGAGACCCATCAACGGCCGGGTAACTCGTTCTTCGGCGCCGGTACCGCAGAGGAGATTGGAAGAATAGCGTTAGAAAAGGGACAGACATACGACGTCAAAGTGACCTTCGGCACACTTCCAACCATGACCTTCAGTAGCCCCGGTACGACTGGCTTTGGCGCTGGCGGGCTGAGGGTGGGACTCGAGCGCAAAGCTGAAGTTAAGACAGAAGTTGGAAAAGCCGTTGAGCTTGCCAAAGAGGTCGACCAAGTGATCCTGTGTGTTGGTCTGAATGGTGAATGGGAGTCCGAAGGCTACGACCGGACAGATATGGACCTGCCACCTGGCAGTGACGAGCTCGTCAAGGCAGTTCTCGCCGTCAATCCCAACACGGCTATTGTCATCCAATCTGGAACACCTGTCACAATGCCCTGGCTGAAGGATGCTCCTGCTGTTCTCCAAGCTTGGTACGGTGGCAACGAGACAGGCAATGCTATTGCAGATGTTGTCTTTGGCAACACTAATCCCAGCGGCAAATTGCCCCTAAGCTTCCCAATCAAGAACGAAGACAACCCGGCTTTCCTCAACTACAAATCCGAACGCAATCGAGCCATCTATGGGGAAGATGTTTATGTCGGATACCGGTTCTATGAAAAGACCAAGAAGGAAGTCGCCTTTCCTTTCGGCCACGGTCTCAGTTACACCACCTTTAAGATCAAAGATGTATCTGTCAGTGACGACGATGTTGAGCTCGTGGTGTCTGCTACGGTTTCAAACACTGGCGAGTTGGACGGTGCGCAAGTAGTCCAAGTTTACGTTGCTCAGCAAAACCCGAGCATCAATAGACCTCCCAAGGAATTGAAGGGCTTCACCAAGGTCTTTGTGAAGGCTGGCGAGAGCGAGAAGATTAAGATTGTGATTTCCAAGAAGTACGCCACCAGCTTCTGGGATGAGGCGAGGGATGCGTGGGTGATGGAGAAAGATGCTTTTGATGTGCTGGTGGGTGATTCCAGTGCCAATACACCGCTGAAGGCTCAGATTCGCGTCAAGCGGACAGCTTGGTGGAGAGGTTTGTAGACGGTCGTCCGTCTTTGATGGCCTTTACGTTTCCGTCCAGAGTTGGTGATACCCTCTCCTTGGGTGGCTGGTATTGACGAGGTGTCTGGGTGGCGGATACGGCGCCTCCATGTGTTACAACATATTTATGACTCATGAGTACCTACCTCCATAGACAATGAACACATGAACTGTATCAACGGCTTGTATACGCGTACGAGGTAAATGGTGTTGAATTCGAGGTATTACAGCATATCTAAGTACTGGTACACACACACACACACACACACACACACACACACACGCGCGCGCGCGCGCGCGCCAAGAGCCGTGCCATCATCGTCCTCGTCACCTCGAGACCCGAATTCCACTCAACTGTTGCCTCCATCTAAACATCGAGAAAGGCACCTCTCGTCCCAAAACCTTGGAAAAATGTTTCAACCTGAACCTCAACCTCAGTCTCCAAGACTTGACCTCGATTACAACCTGATTATGCTTGCGATTATGATCTGATTCTGAATCCACGCGTGAACAATCCCCATACATCCCCAAGGGAGAAGGGAACCAGGGGCGTCCGCTTCCTCATCGCTTCTGGGCACAAGATTTTCTTTTCTTCCTACAGAGGCGATGGCGAAAGCGAAGATGCCAGTCATGTACGCGTTCGGTTCCAACGGCTCTGGACAGCTCGGGGTCGGACATACTAGAGACGTCGTGCGGCCGGAGCGGTGTCTCTTTTCCTTCAAGCAGCGGCAGCGGCAGAGTCGAAGGCGCGATGGGACTGAGGTATCACATCCGGATTCGCATTCAGATGCAGATGGGATCGGACATGGATATGGGAGTTCGAACTCTGAGGCGCTGCCGGTGACAGCTCAGGCACCGAGTGTGAAAAAGATTGTCGCGGGCGGAAACCACAGTCTCGTCCTCACGACGGATGGACGGTTGTTTGTGGCCGGGAAATCAGGGTTGACTTCCGACGACCCGGGCGCCGAACGCGAGTCTACATCCAATGCAGATTTTGAAGAGGTCACCAGGCATATCCTCTCCTCTTCAGCGTCATCGTCAGACACCGGTAGACGATGTAATGGGGTCATCACTGATGTTGCTGCCACCTGGGACGCTTCCTTCGCGGTCCTGGGTTCCAAGATCATCGTGGGTTGGGGGACCGGGACAAAAGGCGAGCTCGGGTTAGGTCCCAAGATGACTTCTACGGGTGGTCAGGTCAGGGAGATCTTCGACGCTGGCTCAGTTACCGGTCGTGGCGAAGCTGTCGACATCATTGACATTGTGGGCTCTCTAGCGCACGTCGTTGTTTTCCTTGCAAGCGGGCAGGTCTACGGATGGGGAAGTTGTCGAAAAGGCCAGCTCGGAGAACAGTTCAAGACGGAGAGGATTCTCTGGTCTCCCCGAAACATTGGTTTAGGGATCCACGGAGAGGATCTCCTGCCTTGGGTTCCGGAGAAAGTGGTCCTCGGTAGGGAGTACACAGTCTTCATCAAGGCAGGCGAGGAGCCGGCGACCTGGGGAGATACCAGGGTTTTCGACGACAGGGGTCTCGGCCTGATTTCTCAAGCAGATGATGTGGTCACTTCCGGTTGGAGTTCGATTCACATCCTCTCGCGAGCACGGCCTCACCAGCTGCAAAGTGCAGGCAGAAATAACCACGGTCAACTTCCTCCCTCTACGCTTCCGGCTGTCAAAAACGTGGCAGCGGGAAGTGAGCACTGCGTCGCCCTCACCATGGACAACCAAGTCATCGCCTGGGGATGGGGTGAGCATGGCAATTGTGGCGAGACGCTGGATGTCAGAGGAAATGTGATTGACCGGTACAATCTGATTCCGCTGCCGACGCCTGACGAGGACATCGTCGCGAAGACTGTGGCTGCAGGCTGTGCCACGAGTTTCGTGGTTTGCGGGATGAAAGACGGGTGAGTCTTAACAGTCGCTTCGGTCAGTCAAAAATCCCCTTTACTTGCGAAAGTCGCTGAGTCGGAGCAATCTCTGCTGGGAACCGTGACCTCGTCAGAGTCGTCCGCTCTTGCTGCTCTTGCTCTCTTGTCGAGATAAAAGAATGGAATTCGGAATCGCGAATGCGCCGCGACGAGTTTGATGCCGATGCAGCGTTGTCGGCGTTTTCGTCCCACGTCACAATGTCCGGCTCCTCTTCAAAGTTAGGTTCGTCCCATTGGTGGTCGTCGTCATCCGCCGGGATGAAGAGACTGTGTGGGTCGATGCTCATGGAAGGCGCGGGTGCTGCAGCAAGCCCAGGAGCAGAGTCTCCTAAATCAGCCTTTTCAGATGTTGACTGTGTAGGCTGATCTCGATTGTGCAAAGAGCTGCGTGCTGGAGGCGGCATACTGGTATCTGCACTTCTTGGAGCGCGAGAATTGAACGACGAGGTTTGTGAGGCGAGAGTTGGTGCTTCAGGAGGTCGAGACGAAGGACGCATGGATAGATCGCGAGCTGGTGTTGTCGCAACGGATGTGCTACCTGGGACATTTGCCGAGCGTCTTGTCATGATTGTGAATTCTGCTTGCAGGCCATTTTCGCCGTAACTGATCTGCAGAGGTCGGTTGCTTCGCGAATACCTTGCGGTCACTTGTGAATGCATCGTCTCGGCGTGTGTTACGATGGCGCGGAAGTCTCTGACCATAGTACCAATGTGTAACCCTTCTTGAACGTTGAAGTCGCTGAAATCTTTGCGCTCCAGTGCCACAGAGGTATGCATGGGCTGCTTGAGGATTTCTGTACAACAATTAATAAGATGCGACGGCAGTGGATTAGGGTCAATACCTCTTCCAGCTTGAATCTTCTCCGTATAACTCGTAAACGTGACTTTGCCGTTCTGAAAATACCAATCGAGCTGATCGGTTTTGGGGCCAAAGTATTCCACTATGTCCCGCAGTGTCCGTGACGATATCGACCAGTAGTTGGTCGACCCGACCTTATCAAAGGCCGCCTGGAGAATTTCCCCGGGCTCGTAGAGCAGGCGATATGTCTTGACCACACCCTGCCGGCAATTCAAACGAAACACCAGTCGACATTCTGCCTGGTCTGGGTTGGCCTGGAGCTCGCAGTCGCAAGTCTCCAGAGCGGTGTCCTTGTCTCGTTGGTCGCCCAGGCGACGCTTGAAGATGGACAGCAGCGCCTGACTTGTTTCAGAGGTGTCTATCCAAGAGATTAAGGTACGAGACTTACCCGTATTTGAAGCTTGCAGGACCATTTCTTTGGCAATGCAGACCCTGTGGGGGTCCGCGGGCCTGGAGAAAAGTGGTATTTAGCGAAGAAGGACGAACTGAGGGTGAACGCCGCATGAGCAGTGTTGGAAACATTCAGACTCGCAAGTCGAAACTTCACCCCAAGCACATTAGTCGACTGCCATGATTTTGTTTGCAGCCAAGGCGGGACTCACAAACTGAGGTGTCGCCTCGATGGAAACATCCTCGTCAAATTTTGCCAGGCAGGTGAGCAGATCATGGAAATATGTCGCCCCAGAAGGAGCCACAGTGAACACCAGAGTTGGCATGAGTGTGTAGACGCAGTTTCGGCTGGTGGATGAGGGACGAGGGTGAGGGGAGGGACAGAGAGACGAAGACGCAGGTAGACGCGGGTCGACGCGTAAAAGAGACACAGAGGGTGAAAGGTGATGTCATTTCAAAACTTGACTTTCGAGACTCGAATGAGCAACGAGTCTCCAATGTACACAGCTTTTCACATATCAATGTTTCTCGCCAGTGCAGTCTCTTTATCAAGGATGATTTCCTACCATCATCTACTCGCGGGACTTTTCTCTCGATAAGCCTTCTCTACCACCTTCATCAAACTCCTCTCCTCTTGGGTATCGCTATCGCGTGCCCTGGTTGTTGGATATGGGGGATAACACCATCACCATGTCTGCATATCGGGGCACCGTTCTCCCCGATGAAATCCTGTCCTTGATATGCGAGGAGCTGGGAAATGAGAGGGAATTCGGCTCGCTCTACACATGCGCACTGAGTTCAAAGTCATTCGCAGACCCAGCGCTTCGGACAATGTACCAGTGAGTTTTGTTGGCCACCAGTTTACTCTTTTCTGTACATGTTTGTGGTAATTGACGTGTCCGCAGACTACACCAGCATTCTCCGGCGTTCGAGCAGAGAGACGACCTGGATGTCCGGCAAAGGCCGACCGACTTCGCGACCAAGGCCGCGGAACAGGCACAGTTCTATCGCAAATGGACCGTGTTATGGCGCTCCATCACTCTCTCGAGTCTCGATGACCACACGACTTACAAACCCTACTGTCGATACATCAAAACCCTGGATTTCCGCAACCTGTCGCTGATGCTGGAAGACCCCAAGTTCACCGGTCCCGTTCGAAAGCAGTTCTTTGCTGGGAAACTCCAGCCTTTCCACTTCCCCAAGACGGAATACAAGAGGCTGGTAGTGGACGTCGTTGCCACGGTCAACGCAATCGGAGATGCGGTGACCACGAAGACGACGCTGTTGGAGGAGATTGACGGCCATATCAGCCCCGGGTTCCTGCCAAGGTGGATATCTCGCTCACCAAAGCTTCAGACTATGGTGCTCTGGAAAGGTGATGCCCTGGTCAACGGCGCCGGAGCCGCAATCGCCGAGCACTGCGATAATTTCCACAGCTTGACGTTACGCGAGTGGGAGTCTCCAGACGCAGACGAGGCATTTGCAACTTTTCTGAACGAGCTCAAGCCGGACACGCTAAGTTACTTTGAAATGATCAGCAACAATAATCTTGGAAAGAGGTCTTTTCAAGCACTCGGACGGCACAAAACACTACAACAACTGGATCTGGGAAGTCTGAATCAAGATGCTGTACGGAATCTGAATGCGCTCAGGGACTGCACCGAGATCCAGACGCTTAAGCTCGAAGACAAATATGGCAATGTCCAGCTGGAGCTCCGAAACAACGATGTATTTCTAGAAGTCGTTGATTGGCTAAGCTCTTGCAGGGCTCTTAGCGAACTCTCTCTGAAGAAATTCTTTGATGGACCCGCGCTGCTCTCGAGAGTATTGTGTTCGCCTAATGTGAGGCTGACCAGGTTATCCCTCGAGGGATATACCGTTCGCCACACCAATTCTCAGTTATTCCACACTGCACTGGCTGAGCAGAGGTCCCTTGAGTCAGTATGGCTTAAGGGAATTGGTGAAGACACGATGCCCGACGATCTCTCACTTATGGTCGAAGGCTTGTGTAACTTGAAAAATTTGAAAGAACTTGTCCTGAAAGATGTCTCGGATGAGTTTTCGGAGGAGCACATCATTTCTCTGGCTGTGAGCCTGCCACTTCTTGAAGACTTCTGGACAAGTGGTGGAGAAGTGTCGGCGGACATCCTCCAACCTCTTGCGAACCTCAAGTACTTGAAGAATCTCACACTGTACGCCATGACTCGGTTTACCTTGAGTGCGATCATGGAGTTCTTGATGAGTCTTGATCCCGAGAGGCAGAAAGGGTTCAACCTGTCGCTGATGGCTGTGGATCCCGACTATGATTTGGCCGAGGAAAGTCAGGAGATGATCCGTGAGTACATGCGAGCAAACCTTGATGGCAGATTCGACTTTGTCTTGTGGCGTGACGCGGAGCCAAGCGACAGTGAGGAAGATTGATTGGCATTGGGTTCTGTGAGTCCGCCAAGTCTGCATGAACCATGCACTTCTGAGAAAGCACAATCTTCCACTATTTGGTTAGGTGGATTGCGTGCCACTTGTGTACCTGACTGATGGGTTGTTGGGTATGGCATGGGGCCAGGCTGTTCCCTCAGGGGAGAGCTGCCACAGAGTTCCAGGTACAGATTCTGTGGCCGACCATGACATTGTGGTGATTGAGCATCAGCAAGCGCTTCAGTTGGATTATGGCAAGGCTCCTTATTTCAGAGTCCTGCCAGCTGTTCCGATACTGGAGCTAGCCTTTTCGTGGATAACCTGTCTTTGCCGAGAGCATCATCCAGCACCTGACAGAAGTGGAAAACATCGGTGAAGGTGTTGTACAAGGGTGCGGGAGCAACTCGAATGACATCCGGTTTTCTCTCGTCCACAATGACACCTTCACGTTCGAGATGACGGAGGACTCCATCGAGTAAGCCGGGTGCCAGTCGGATGCTTAGCTGGGCGCCTCGATCTTTCGCGTCTCTAACTGTGATGATGTCGAATTTCCCTGGCTTTCTCATCGCGATGTCGTCCAAGAGGTGCTCCAAGTAATTCGTTAAGCGCACAGACTTCTCCCGCAGATCCTTCATAGATGTTTCGTTGAAGATTTGTAGCGAGGCAACGACGGCTGCGAGGTCGAGCGCGCTTGGATTGGATACCTGGTACCCCGCGGCACCTGGTCGAGGGACGAATTCTTCATAGATCAAATCAGCTGAGCACTGTGGACCATGATACCTCCAACTTACTGTTTGTCATTTGGAATCTGCTGGATTTATCATCTCCCCACCATCCGGTCAAGCGCGGCCAGTACTTGTGAGTCGGACTTTTCATGTCGACTTTGCCAAACTTCTCGTTGATGAAGATGCCAGCCATTGCTCCCGGCCCTGAATTGAGATACTTGTAGCTACACCAAGCGGCAAAGTCGACGTTCCAATCATGCAGCTTGAGGTCAACATTGCCAGCGGCATGTGCCAGGTCCCAGCCAATCATGATGCCGTGCGAGTGAGCATGGGCTGTGATACGAGGGATGTCGAAATATTGACCGGTATAGAATTGTATGCCTGGTAGGAGGATCAAGGCAAGCTCTGAGCTATGCTCGTCGATCGCTCGAAGGATTTGGTCGGTGGACAAGGTGGGGAATCTGTCATAGACAGGTTCTAACAAAACCATTGCTTCTGCAGGGTCGAGGCCATGATGGATGATTTGCGACTCAACTGCATACTGACACTGTTGTCAGCAGGGCTTGTGTAGGCATCCAGAACCTGGTCCTACTCACATGATCGCTTGGAAAGGCTTTACCCTCAAGCAGGATCTTCCACCTTCCCTCGCCCTTCTTGCTGGGGCGGTAGAAACTCGACATGAGGAGATGCAGGTTTGCCGTCAAGGAACCCATGACTGCCACTTCCGACTCAAGGGCACCCACGATCGGGGCCATGAGTCTCGCGGCATGGTCATCGATGTGCAAGAACGGTGCAAGGGGAGAGTCTGAATGCTCGACGAAATGCCCCAAAACGCCTTTTGTGCGCCACTGTGTGAGGAACGAGTTGACCAGATTCGCGGTCCTGACGGGCTGAAGGCCGAGCGAGTTGCCGCACAGATACGTGCAGGGCTGAGAGGGTCCTTCTCCAGGCGATTTAGACAGCGTTGGTCTATTCAGATCTGCCCGAGTCGGTATGTGAAACTCTGACCGAAAATGAGATAGCGGATCTCTAGCATCGAGAGAGAGGGCAAAGTCTGGGGAAAATGGATCGCCGGGTTCTTTCATAGAGTAGAAGTCACGGGGTATGTCTGCTTTAGACATGGTGACAGAGAAAATACGACACTCTGTGCACCTTGACTTGATTTCTCGCGGGCAGGACCCGTAGCACTTGTCTCCTGGATACTCTCGCAGACGAGATAGTCACGACTCACAAGAGAAAAGTGGCCAGCTCAGAGGGACGTATTAGAGAGGGGGGACCTTTCTTCTTTGTAATAATGAGTTGAACCAGTCGGAATGGAAAACGACAGAATTGTCAGCAACTCGTTGTTGCCGAGGTTTTTCCTTTGGCCGCCGCATTTTCCACCATCGTCATTTTTCCCAGTGACAAAGAGACACACCAACCCACCAACCTGTGTTCTACGCCTTGCACGCCAGCGACACACGGAGGAATAGCTCTCGCGAAAGTAAAAACCATGTCACAGAACTCGATGAGGCTCGCCTTTCGAGCCGCGCGTCCTCTACGCAGACCACAAGACCCGACGACCTACCTCCGAGCATGTCGAGGTATTTCCAATGCTCCGTTGCAGCGGCAAACGACGACCCCAAGACAAGCACACTCTCACCCCATCATCCCACGGCTCGAAAAGAGGAATAACTACGTAACAAGACGACACATCTCTTCCTCGCCCGTCCGGCAGGCGACGGTGGTGGTGCAGAACCCGCGGGTCGACGAAGACGGCAACGAGATGACCATCACCATCTCGGAGCGAGCGGCCAAACGCCTGAAACAGATCACGAGCGCTTCTCCCCAGAGCAAGAAGAACACGCTCGTCCCTTCATCCTCCTCCTCTTCCTCCTCGCAGCCAAAAGATTCCCACCTCCGCGTCACCGTGACCTCCGGCGGCTGCCACGGCTTCCAGTACTTAATGTCCCTGGAGGACTCGTCCAAGATCGATCGGGAAGAAGACACGATATTTGCCAGCGACGACGAGACGGCGCCGTCGGGCCCGGGCAAGGCCGAGGTGGTCATGGACTCGGCGAGCCTGGAGTTGTTGAAGGGCAGCACCATTGACTTCACCCAGGAATTGATTGGGAGTCAGTTCAAAATCGTGGGGAATCCGCGCGCCACCAGTAGTTGTGGCTGTGGCACGAGTTTCGATATTGAGTGATTCATTCATACCTCTTTTGGGGCAGACGGACGAAAAGGTGGACCGTAGGGACACAGACTGGGGATATGTTGTCGCCGAGGGAAATTGCCACCTTGGTTCGGGTCTTTGTATCTTCTCTGCTCCAAACAGAGACTTTGGATGTGCGTGGCCTCTCAGGGCAAGGAAATCGGATGTTTCAAGACCAGAGAGAACGAGAAAAGTCGCAGCTTGAGCGTCCTATAGATCCTATATCTCCACCACCGACCGTGGCCTGTTTCCTCCAGATAGCTTTCTACGAGACCTTGACATGGGAAGCAGCAAAAGCAGCTACTTCTTCTCCATAAAGGAATTCTCTACTCTATCCATTGCTCAAACGTTCACAAGCTGCTAGGCTGCCGTGCTTGAACCGCACCGCCCCAACCCATGAAGTGCGTGCAACTCGACCGAGCGTGAATATCAATGGACTCAAAAGAGTGGACAAAGAGAAGACCAAGAGGGACTGAGAAGAGACCGGAAATCGCGGGACTTATTGAATGGAGGGGCATGGAATCACATTTTCATAGAGACCTCTCTCCTTGTCTCTCTCTTCCTTTCTCCCCCGGCTGGTGAGGATGGGAAAGGGGAAAGGAGAGACGCTGAATATCTCTGCAAATGTGGATAGATGAATTTCCCCCCCTCGGCCTCGTTGCAGGATCTAGTAATTATCCAGCTCGTTTGAGAAATCCGTTCCAAAATCAGAGAGCCACTGTTGTGATCCTGCGACTCCCTCACTCCACTGCCCAAGCTGAGTTTCGCATGACATAGAGGCCTTGAGCTGTCCGTCTGTCCTGTCCGTCTGTCCTGTCCGTCTGTCCTGTCCGTCTGTCCTGTCCGTCTGTGAATGGACTCTTCTGATCCGATTGATCTTCGTCAACTCCTGAGCCAGATCAGCAACGGTTCTGAGGTCGTCAACCGCTTCTCTGCCTGCTCACGTTCGCAAGCTAGCACCTCCTCCTCCACGACCAATACTTTCGAGTTATTCAGCGTCAGGTGAGGAATTTCCCAGGCCTTTGGTGATTCGTAGGACTTGGACATCTCCGCGACCTCCTCTGTCACACGCTCCAGCGCCTTCTGAAGCTTCTCGACGGTTTGGTATCGCTCGTCTCTCAAACGCTGGTATAGTCGCAGAGTTTGCGCGCCGTCGACAATCCCGCTAGCAGCCGCTTCGGTAAGGCCGAGGGTATTGAGCGAAGATTTAATTCGATCGATGAGGGATGGCCTCGGCGGCCTGAAAAATTGGACATTGGTATAAGCAGTGGTGACTTCTGAGTCGCCCATGGCCTTGTATGCGAGGAGCAACGCGGTTTCATGACATCGGTATTGAGCTGGGTCTAGAATATCGTTAGGGAGTATCCATCCACTGAACCAAGGCTGCCGAGCACAGCCAGGGGTGACTTACGATCGTTCGAGCTTCGTCCATCGTTTGCCCACTTTTTGTTTGTACCACTTTGGCTCGCGGGGAGTCTGTCGTGCTCATCAAATCGACGAGGCGAAACCTGAGGACTTTGGAATCTTTTGGATCATGCCAAAATTGCGACAGCTGGGCAATGTCGGAAAAGGTCCCGAGAGGCGGAGCGCCTGGGACAGTCATGTTGGTGGGCATTGATCCCTGGGTTGACAGTCAACTCACCGCCGTCAGGAGAGGTCATGATAAGGAAGACGTGTAAGGAAGGCGGCAAATAACCAGAGGGGAAATCTGTAGAGGGCGAAGATTCAAGTAAGAACGATACAAAAGATGAAATGAAATGCTTGCCAAGGAAGAAGGAGCAGGACGAGCTTGAAAGATGGCAAGAACTAGTCTTTCCAAAGGAACTGAACCCTAGATGACCGTGCGAATATTCAGTGAGAGGTACATACCTTCCTCACGAAGTCCTCCCAGCCCGGCTCATCGGACCCCAGTTCTCCCTCGGATTCATCTGGTACCTCAATAACTTGCCACGAGGCTTCTCTTTACCCAACTTCTCGTCAAATGTGATTTTGAGCCTGTTCGGTGGTGGAACCGAAGGACTCGTGGATCTTGACCGATGACCGTTGGGAGGTTCCTCGGGTTGAGCTGCTGCCTCTTCGCCACCATCTTTCGGCTCAGACGATTCACCCGTCTCTGGGGGGAGAGGTGATTTTTCGTTCTCTAATCGATACAGTATCCCTTGTAGCACAGTTTTCAGGTCGTCCTTGGTCTCACATCTCCCAAGCTGTTCCCTCGTCACGTCCCTCAACTCTGATACAAGAGCCCGCTCCGTCCCTCGGACCCTCGACAGAATCTGATACCCTGCTGTGCCCTTCCTCACGGCTCCATCCTTGATAGGAGCTTTTGTCCGCATGAACTCTCGTATCACTTCCCACAGCACGGACCATGGGGCATTCGTTTTGATACTGCCAGGCTTGCAGTGAGACCTGGAGACTTTGTAGCCCAGTCCAAGCAGGGCACCTCTCATTGCATCTTCAGAAGGTGTGGCGCAATGGATTATCTTTGCCAAATAAGTAGGCATGATGAAAAAAGGAGCAACGTCCGGTTTGTCAGTCGCAAGTCGCGGGATTGGCTTCGAGTCGTGCGTAGCTCCGTCCTCGGCTACTGTGACCTCTGTACCGTCTGCGTCTGAGTTGGTAGGCGCGAGATCCTCCTCCAAGGCCAAAGTAAGCATCCCCTCGATTCGATCGACAGTGACATATGTGTCCTTGTCCAGAGTTCGAGCCTTCTTGAGCATTTTCTCAACGAATTGCGGATTGTGTAGGGGACCTGACCACATCGGGCCACACAGGTGCATCCGTGAACCACAATGTTCACAATTCCGATTTGTGGACGGTGCTTGGGCGAATGAGAACTTGTAGAATGTGTCTCCAGATTTAGATGTTTGTGGCTTGTTCCGAAGCAAAGGCTGTGTGACCCAAGCTCCACACCCGTGGCCGCAGTTATAAACCATCATGGATGTACCGGCCAGCAGCTTGACTTCTTGCTGCTTTCGGTGGACCCGAATGAAGAGTCGGGCATAGTAGTCGATGTAAAGCGACAAAAGAGGCTCGATCGCAAGGCCGTATTTCGCGGCAGATATCGCGATTCCATTGAGGATCAACCTCAAGCCACCTTCGTGCGAGTGTGGCCCTTTGACAGGAATTCCACCATAGAGTGCAAAAGTCTTTTCGGGATACCCCGTCGATGCAAAGACACCAGCGTCTGTGCAGGTGATACACAGCATCCCACCATCCTGGATTGCCTGTAGGCTGCAGTCAAAGAAAGGAGCCGCTGTTCCATAAGGGTCAATATCAATCACATCGAAACGATGTACATATCCTTCTGCGGGTCTGGGGTGCTCGTTTCCAACCTTGGTATACATGAAAGCTCGAGCATCACCGAGGTTGGGTTGAACTTTGTCTCCGACGTCGTTGTGCTTGATGTTGAGTTTGATGGTCTCGACCGATGCCGAGGAGAGATCATTTGCGACAATATTGGTAGCAAATGATATTTCCTTGGCATAGCGCAACGCTCGGAGGCCCGTTGCAGACAAAGCGTCTAGAATAGCGAAAGGAAGCTGTTTCTTTGGGTTTGCAGGTGGCTTTACCTCAGGATCGGCGGCGCCTGTACTTGCGACAGGTTCTGGTTGCAGTCCCTCTCCCACGGTGTCATTGACCGGAGCATCAGCATCAGCCGTCAGCTCAGCAACAAGTGGTTTGACGTTGTCTTCGTCATGTCCATTGGGTTTGAGTTTCTTTGCCGGCTCTTCCGTACTCTCATGGACGACTGCATCTTCTAGGTGGTCGGCTTTACGCTTCCGAGCGTTCGGTTGCTCTGCTTCATTGTTGGCGCTGTTGTCGAGTTGAGCTGCAGGCGGGGCGTGCGACCCTTTTCCGGCCTTCTTCCTTTTCGCGTTTCGATTCTTGTGAGCAACCCGGCCTAGCTTCTCCAGCAGAGCAGCTTCGCCGTAGACGCTGATTGCCAGGACACTCAGATCTCGATTGAACTGCTGAATAGGATTATAGAAGACGGCCTGATCTCCTTCGTCGTTGTTTTTGGAGGATTTGGTCGACGTTGGAGGTTCCCCGGAATATGGAGCAAGTACTGAAGCTAGACCTTCGCGAACGTGTCTGTATTTCTTGCCATCCACCATGATGGTCTCGGGGGTATTCGATGACGCCATATTCGAGCGTGATGAGGCCGCAAAGCTCCTCCGTTGCAGGTTTGTAAAGTATCCCTGGCTGTTATTCGCGAGCTTTGGCACACGATCACGGATAAGATTGATCCGGATGAAAGCGAAACAACGGCCGATCCTCATCACCAGCCCCTTCCATCCCTTTGACACTGCAGATTGAGAGATCGATGTGTCCGCCGAACAAATGTGTTATGTTACCAAAAGTTGGGAACAAGGCACAGACATGAAGTAAATGGTAGCAGCATCGAATACGATACTTTTTTCTCTGAGAATCGCCAAGACGGATGCTACAAAGAGTTAGTCGCAGCCTTGCATATTATCAAGCTAGTCCATTTACGGCGAGCCTCTTAGTGCTCCCTCAGCCTTGTCGACCAACACGGAGCATCTCAATGAGTGAACAACCTCGTACCCTTCCTGCTACACACAGACATGGATGCAAGCTCGCTGCCCGAATAAGGGGCAGTGAACAAATATTCCGCCAAACGGTATGCACATTGTACACCAGACAGTAAAAAACAGCCCTCCTCTCCTGACTCCTCAGCCTCAAGCGCGTCTGAGAGTTTTGAAACCGTTTCGGTCTCAGATCCTTTTCCTCAAACGCCTCTCCTGCCCATTCTCAAACCAGATCACCCGTCAAGATGGGCAACAGTGACCCCGGACTTGTCACATACAGGAGATTACCATCTCAATGATGCCGATTGTGCACGGTTTCACGGGCGTCAAGTGGCGCCACTACAAGCACATACACACACCTAGTTCAAACCAGATCCATCAGGAGAATATCGACGACCCTGTTTTGCATTTGAGGTGCCGGTGAGCCTGCTACATACGGCTCGAGTACAAAACTGTCGGGCTTTCTCGACACTCTTTTTTTCCTCCTTGCCACTTTTCCAAGCCTAATTAACGTACTCGTCTTTCTTTACATCGCTGACCTGCACAGCCAAAAATTATACCATTCCTGATCTCCCACAGCTAAAACCATGCCGAGAACACATTTCTCCGCCATCACTTGCCTCCTCTTCTTCGCCCTCGTCACAATCGTAACGGCTATCCCTTCGCCGCTCAGCCTTCTCAGCCCTCGACAGCAACAAAGTGACCAGCCTATTTGTAGCGAATACTCCACCATTGCAAACCTCTCCATTGTCGGCGCCAATGCTACATACCGGTCCGCATACCTTCAAGCGTCACCTCAAGGCCACGACCCAGCCAGCGCGCCCCTCGATTCCGCCATTCCCAAGCTGCCCAGCTTTCAATTCAACGCCACTATTAACACCGAATGTGGAAATTTGACGGAGGTGGCCATCAAGGGTGCTGCGACAAACTTTACGCAAGGACAAGTGTTGCAGTTCAACATCAATTCGGCCGTGCAGATGAGGGCAGGGTCATTGGGGATGGCTGTGATGATGGCTATAGTTGTCGCCACGGTCATCGATATACTATAGAACGGTTATGGTGAACGACTTCTCTAATATTACGACTGTCTCAACGTTGCAAAGTGTACGGCTGATCAATGTGACGCGGTGGTGGGAACCAACATACAAATCGAGGCGTTTTCGAAAACTCTGTTATAGCTGGGTATGCTGACTCTCGCCACATTGTTTCGTCTATGCTCGGTAAAGCGCCTTTAGAGGGCGCGACTTTTCGCAATGCAGCTTCCCCGAATGGAGTAACCGGCCACCGGCTTTGGCAGGAGACTTGAAGCAACAAAATATATCACCTTGATTCCCAGTGAGATCTCAGTGGTGACGCAAAATATGTCGTCAGGGACGAAGAGGAACGGGTCCAGGTCTGCGCCGAAATTGACATTAACAAAGCTGTGCAGTGCGGCATGCAATTAGAAAGTTGCTTCGTGGCCTGCTGGTCATTTTGCACCCTCTAAGGGCAAACCCGTCTGATTGGTTGTTCTGCTTTGATAGCGAATGGCAACACTGGAAACATGGGCTATCATATAGACCGGCGGATGAATAGAGAAGTTCGTCTGTCCATCGGATGTGTCACTCTGACAGCTCGATGTCGACGGTGTCCATGGCCAAGAAAGACATATGCGTATAAGATCAACCTTTTGCACCAGGGCGGTTGCTAATACTCAATCTGCCTCCTCCTATCGCCGAGCCGTGTTTAGGCCAGTACTCGAGATCCTCTCTGTGCAAGTCGTGCTTTCAGGACGCAGTTGAACAGGTATCGGGCGTATGCATCCGCCTGGTAAAGCCATCGACTCTCCTGCCCACCATACCCATGAGCCCATGTCATACCGAGTGGTTATATGGATCATTCGATGGGCGCATACGTCGTTTTAAAGTGTGCTATGCACGTATGGAACCGGGGGAGTTCGAAAGAGATGGTGAGGCTTGCTTTCAGAGGTCGCGCCCGTGTGGTTCTGGGATCGGCCTAGTTTATGATCGTAAAAGTGTGTCGATTTGAGGACAATGGTTGCTTCAGGAGCCAGCAGAAACATGACCTTTGCACCCAGGCATACATCCTGTCGGCTTTCGAGGATCGTAGTAATCCTCATCTTCCGTCAGATCACTGTCATCCATATCGACATCGCGCTTCTCAGCCACGGGAGGTTCTATCTCGTCTCTTTTCTCGACCTCTGGTTTTGGTTCGTCGACCGCCGGCGCAAACGCATTCTTGAATCCTCCTTTCTTGAACCCTCCACCCGCAGCTGCTGCGCTCTTTGTGCCCCCTCCAAGTTTTATCTGCATCAGTGGTCCTTTCTCTTCCTTCTTGGGTTGCACTTGGCGCTGCATTTCCTTCATCTCCTTCAACCTCTTCTTATGTTGGTGATCGTATGAGGATTCGTGGGCCTCGAATTCGTTCATGCGACTGTACCCTTTTTGACATAGCGAGCAGAAGAATGCACTCCGCGCTTGTTTCGCCGACTGTGTACTGGCGGGGGGGAGGGTGAATCCTCTCTAGAGGAGGAAGCGACTAGTCAATAACGCCAAAGAGACAATTGGAAAGTTGGTCGGCGAGACTTCACAGGCACAGCAAGGCGCAACTTACCGGAGGCATGATGGCGGTGACGAACAGTCAGACGCAGAAGAAGATGCTAATATGCAGTGACTGTTTGATGAAGCATTGATCTTTACGCAGGGAGTGAAGAGAAGTCGGAAAAAAAAGTGGTGGTCGGCCGTTCTCGCATAATAATGTCTGGTCGCCCACTACCGCGTCTGGAGCCAGACCCCTCAATTGTCGACTGTCAGATCGCCAGCGAAGACATCCTTCAGCCGCACAACGAACAACCACGCATTACCCGAGAGGCTATCCATTCCTTGAACCTCGATCTGTTGTCTATACTTTTTTCTCTGGCAAGACATCGAGTAGACCTCGTTAGCACCAATCAGGCTCAGCGATCAAGCAAGCTCTTCACAGACCCGGATGATGCAGCACTTGATATTGTCGAAGCCAATGCATGAACTGGAGCTGAGGCTGGTCAATTCGTCTACAGGCCGTCAATAAGGCGGGAGGCCGTCTTCAACAGCAAGAAGTTCCAGCCCTACCAACTCCAAGCTCATGACTTCCACAGATCACCGCGATCGTCGCCATGCGCCTCATAAATGTCCGCACGATTCAATTGGAGGAAGTCTACAACAGCAGGACTCACCGGTATGCCATACTTTCGCATCGATGGGAAGAGGAAGAAGTCACCTTCCAAGACATGAGCTCCCCCAAGACCTTTGGCAAGAAAGGCTTCTCCAAAATCCAGTCGGCTTGTTGGGTTGCCCGTAACAAGGGACTTTCCTACCTTTGGGTCGATACCTGTAGCATTGACAAATCGAGTTCGGCCGAGCTAACGGAAAGTATCAACTCAATGTATCGGTGGTACCAAGATGCCGAAATTTGCTTTGCCTATCTAACGGACGTCGAGATTCATAAGACCGAGATGAAGGACAGTGTGTGGTTCACGCGGGGATGGACACTCCAGGAATTGATTGCCCCAAAACACGTCAGCTTCTACGATCGAAACTGGGTCTTTCTGGGCACCAAGGATAACCTGGCTGGGGAGCTATCAAGAATCACTGGCATTGACAGAGATGTCCTTCTTGGTCAGAGACCACCCTCGAGCTGTTCGATAGCTCAGCGCATGTCGTGGGCCTCCAAACGCTCGACAACCCGGGTTGAGGACCGAGCGTACAGTCTCCTGGGTATTTTCGATGTTAGCATGCCCATGCTGTACGGCGAGGGCGAAAGATCGTTTACAAGGCTTCAAGAGGAGATCATCAGGCACTCGGACGACCAATCCATCTTCGCATGGGATCGTGGCCTGGACGGCTATTTCGGCGGGCACAATGGTCTTTTGGCAACCTCCCCTTCGCACTTTGTCACTTGCCAGAACGTCGTCATCCCTGCCTCCTACGGCCTACCGGTCACCACTGGCTTCGCATTGACCAATGTGGGAATATCGATTTCCTTAATGACCCTTCCGTGGGCGATGGAGACGTATCTCTGTATCCTGAACTGCAGCCTCAAAGATTGTCCTCAATATCGCCTGGGTATCTTTCTCGAGCGACTCTCATCGTCTCAAAATGCAGAGCAATATGCACGGGTGCAGATCGACGGCGCCACCGTGCTGCCTATTCTGCTTCGCACCATCTTGGACGACTCTTACGGCCGTGTTCGCACCGTCCACGTCCGACCTCACATCTCCGATGAACCGCTCCGGCGCTGGTATGGCTTTCGCCTTCACAGCTTCACTCTGCCAGAATACACGATTGATGAGATCTATCAGGCGAGGTTCCATTTTCGCAACACTTTACCGTCGATAGGTCGGTACAGCGCCGAGGAGATGCGGGCGGCGAAGCAATACCACCCGAATGGACTTCTCGGTCTGCCTCCCCGACCGCTCTTCTTTGCCATGCCACGAGCCAGAGGAGGCTTGCTGAGCATCAGAGGCACTGCGGCCGTCATCTACGTCCCGCCTTCGCGAAAGGACAAGAATGGCGAGCGCATCTGCTGGATGAAGTTTGGATTCGACGAAGATTTCCGCCCTGTGTGTATCTTTGGGCGCCGGAAGTCGCTATGGGGCGGCAACGCCGCACACCTCGCCGTTGACGAGGACTCGTACTACGACGCCGAAGAGACTCCCGGGGCGCACGCCCTCCTGTTCCGTCACGACTGGATCAACAGATACCAGTGCTCGAGCGACCAGGAGATCGCGGCGCTGTGGCAGAAGCGCGACTTTTGCGTCCTCAAGGGCGTCAAGGACTGGGGCATTGACAGACAGATCCCCTTCCTCCGACTGCGCGTCCTGGTGCGCCTGGAGAACATTCCCCTCAACTTCTCGTCGGACGGACGGCCCGACTCGCCGTTGCCAGGGATGAATGTGTGGACGATAAACGTGGATTCCTGGAAGTACTCGGGCGACAAGGAAGGCATGAAGACGGCCATGGGGACCGGGGAGTTTGTGCTGCGCTCGCTGGACGACATATTTGCCGCGGTTTAGAACCGAGGGCCATGGATGCTATGGAACGAGGGCCGGCGATATGAATCAAGACACGAACAATACGATTACGATACCATTCAACCTGCCAGCTCTTTTCATCACGCTCAATCCTCTTTCCAGAAGCTTGACTCGCCAGTATCATCCAGAGCCAGTTTAACTACTACACGACACGACAAGACCTCTGTGGGGCGACGCAACATAACGCGGACTCCCACAGGAGAAAGTGTTTCTCGGGAAGAGAAAAGTACAACCACCTATTTACCTCTCGTCTCCCTACCTCCCCACATCCCTCCACCCTTTCCACGAAAAGAAAAAGAAAAAAGAGGCTCCTTTTTAACGAGATTCATGAATTAATTCCGGAGACAACCAATGGTAACGACGAGACGGACGAGATATTTTTCATCTATTCCTCCTTTCTTTGGGATCATTTCCATTCACGACGCAGGATGATGGGAGACTCCTGAATCTGAATCCGATCAATCTTGGTCATTTGTTGCTGCTGGGTTCAATCTGACCAGAACTAGGTTGAAAAAAAAAGAAAGATATATCATATCGCACACGTTCAGCCGAGGTGCTGTTATTTCCCTATTCCCTTCCTCGCTCAATAAATCCATTCTCATCGACTCGGTCCCAATAAAAAGTGTGCGCCTTCAAACGCCTTTCTATCAAAACAGGCTGTTCCCATTCCTGCTTGAATTCCTGCCCTTCTTTTTCTTCTTTTCCCATAAAGATCCGACTTGCAACTCCGAATTCAACTCCATCAAAGAAACCCAGGGGTATCCCCCCTGCCCTAGTTCCGTCCCGCCCTTTGTCCCGGGTATTTGCTTGCTGTCATGATTGTTTCGTGGGATCAACTGTGGTTGCCGTGTGATTGCTTGGGTCGTCTCCGTCGTGTCAGATGCTGTTCAAAATCGAAGAAAGAAAGGAAGAACTCCCCCCAACGAACGCCTCGCGCCTCCGGCAGACAAAGCAAGCAACGCCTTGCAACATGCCTCAAAACACAAATTCTAGTCCCCATCAGAGCCGCTTTTGAACCTCCCTGCAAAAACACCACGCGTCATGACCGCCAATACATATCATACACATATATATGAACCTAAAATTCCATTAATGGCGTCCCCTCAATGTCTATTCAGAGTCAAAACAGGTGAGATGCCCCGGACTCCAGTTCGTACCTTAGTTGCCCAACCCATATTTGTTTCTGACCATGGACCAAGCCGTTGTGTTGATGGTATACTCGGAACACAGAGTTCCAAGTCGCTAGGAGTGGCAAACGAGGCGACTGACTTTGTCGAATTTGGGGTTCTTCTGCAGGAGAGGTCGAAATCTGTAGGGTGGCCGTATCTGGCTAAAGCTGCATTGTGCAATAATGAAGGCATCGAAGCCTATTCCTTGGCCCACTAGGGTATATTTGCGCCGCCCCTTCGCGTGCTGCTTTTAGCTGCTTTGCTGCTCGACGAGAGCATGAGCGCCTTGGCCAGCCTCTTCACAAGCTTTTGCCAGTTGATTTTGCTGTTCCAAAAGATCAGAAACACGTTGCTCAGTCTGCTGTCGGGTCGTTTCAGCGTTTGCTGTATCAACTGGTCGCAAGCTATTTCCGCTTCTGTCGCTTCGCTCGCGCGCGAGTCGGGGCTCGATCGGCTTATTTGCGCACTGCATTTATCTCCTTCGACTGCACATCATCTTGTTCACTCACTGCCTTTCTCTTGATCCCCTGGTTCTGCAGTGCTGTGGTCACTTGCAGCTGTGTCCTTCGACAATCTCTCTTCTTGTTCGCTTGGACCTGCCTGTTGAACTCTGCACGGAGCGAGTCCATCTCGCTTTTCAGGTTCCAATGTGAGGGGTCCGAGCAGGTTTGTTTTTCTTGTGACAAAATATGATGCCGTTGCGACTCGTCAAACCCCTCGTGGTTAGACTTGGTCTCTTCTGAGAGCTTCGCGTTTTGCTCTAGTGGTTGCTGTATACGATCGTCCTTCTCTGCCTCTAGAATCTTGATGCGTTCCTCTAACCGAGCAACTGTAACGTCTCTAGCTGTTTCCACCATTTTCAGTTGGTCCTCTTTATGAGAAAGGTCCTTTCGTAGAGTCTCGATTTTCTCCTTCAACTCGGCGTCTTCACTTAACAGTGCATGTTTTTCACGGTTTGTGGCGCACAACAGAGTTGAAATAGTTTCCCTCGCAAGCTGTTCTTGAGCAAGACTTGCTCTGACTCGGTCACAGTCTTCTCTCGACTTTGCCAAGTCAAGATCTGACTGCATGGCAACTTCGCGTTCCTTGAAGAAGGACTCCCTCTCGTGGCAGATGTGTGCGCTCTGCATGGCGATTATTTTATGGCTGGATGACAGTGCTTTGCCTTGGTCTTTTGCAATGGCCTTGATGGTGTCTCTCTCTGCCTCTACTTTTCTAAGAAGCTCAGTTCTGACACGATCATCCCGCTGCAGAGCGTCCACACTCGATCTTAGGTCTGCAATGGCAAGGTATAAGTGGTCATTGGTCCTCGCAAGACCATCTTTCACATTATCTGCCTCAATTTTGCTACCGACATCCTGTTTTAGTGTTTCGACTTGGTGTGTGAGGCGCTCAATCTCCCGCGATTTTTTGTTGTTACGCTGGGCGAGGATATCGCTCTTTTCTTCGGCTTTGACCTTTTCGATATGAAGAGCCTTGCCTTGATTTCTGACCCCCGCGATCTCAAGGCAATAGTCTGCATTGGCCTTCGAGAGTTCAAGTATCTCCGCTTTCAACTGGGCAATAACATAGTCAGTCTCCTTCTGTCGAGCGGAGCCGACTTCTGGAGAGACGTGTGTCTGTGAGATCCTGTCTCTCTCGGCGGTGAGACGCTGTATCTCGTGGGAAAGCGCAAGGTTTTCTTCTTGGAGTCTGTCCTTCTCGTCGGTGATACGCTGTATCTCGTGGGAAAAAGAGAGGTTGTCTTTTTGAAGGCTGTCCTTCTCGGCAGTGAGACGCTGTATCTCGTGGGAAAAAGAAAGGTTTTCTTCTTGAAGTTTCTCCTTCTCAGCGCGCATACCTCGGTATCGCTTCGCAATAAGGTGAGCAAAGTCTTCCGGGTTCCCCACAATGACCATGTCGAGATCAACAGAGTCAAAAAAGCATTGCAGGTGGTCTATGAGCCCTTTTCCAATTTGATACTTGATCATCTGATGACTGACCTCCTCTTTCTGAATATAGTCCCGGTGGACCGTCCACACATTTTGTAAATGAGACGATATTTGGTCGAGGTACCCCTTATCAGGGTCCTTTCCTCCAGCTTGCTGCGCCTGACGCACGCAATTCAGTGCCTCAACCAGATGTACAACCCGTAAATCCTTGAAAAGATGCAGGGCATGAGATTGAGGGAATCCACCGCCAGGCTTCGTGTCTCCAGGGTCGGCATCCTTGATGTTGGGTCGGGTGTCCTCGTCATCCTGACCTGATCTTTCTTCTGCCGATTCTAAGGTCTGCATACTGAACCCTGCAAAGCCACACAGCCAGAACACAAGAGCAGCAGAGAAGTGTGTTCAAATAGAGTCAAGCACATGCCGCGAAGCTTGACCAGAACGGTCTTAGGCTGTGAGACGACGATGTCCACCACTCGCAAAACACATGTTATTTGTACCTGGAATGACACCAATCGGAGCGAGTCAATAGAGTGCAAAGGTCTGTAGAAGAGAAAGGGGCAGTCGTTTGAGAAGGATTATAGTGACTGTGCCGAGGGAGGCTGAATGATGGAAGCAGGAACAGTGGTAGACAGAGAGAAGCAACGTCCTAAGCAGCAGTTTTTGACTGTGCTGGAGCGGACAGTTGGGCGGGGAGGAGCGACCGAGAAGCACTCAAAAGGCAACCACCCAAACCAAGAGGGGCTGCCTAGTGGTTGGGCGCGGGGTGACGGCTGAAACAGCTCGACCGCCTCTGATTCGATACCCACTGAATCAATCACTCGTCAGCCTCCCGACCAATTGAAGCCCTCCACAGATGCGCTAGTGGTTGTGGCAGACCCCGCTGACTAGCCTCGATGCCCACACCGCTTAATTATGTCTTCCGCTATTGGCTGATCCCAAATCTCTGAAGCGAAGTCCTTTGAGGCCTCCTAGTTGATTTCTCGGTCCTCATTGCCACAACGAGGGACTGGTGAGTCAAATGAGTCAAACCGTGTCCAGCTCCAAAAAACACGACCGCACATGACGGATTTCCTAGGGTTGAGAATACTGCAAGCTTTTCACCTGTAATTGAGTTCCAACAGCCCGCTTCCGCGGGTCTTCCGAGCCTGCAAGGGCCGTCTTTCCCCCTCTCAAGAACAAAGAAACGCTCAACAACATCAAAGTCATGGCCGACCTACCTCCGCTCTCGACGCAAGACACGCGTGGCTCCATCTCCTCTATACCAATGCACGAAGTCGATCCCTCGCCCGTCGATGATGACGACCCAGAAGGCCCGAGCTATCCCACCAACCCTGCGGATCTTGATGCTTCGAGATTGCCCTTTTCATCTCACAGCACGACCAATTGGCTGGGCCTCACGCCAGCCCGGACGCTTCACATGTTGTCAACCGTACAAAAGTACTCTGTCGTTCCCTTCTCAGCCTATCTCACGATGCACTACACAAACACCGCACTGATCCCCCTCTTGACCGGTTCTGCGTGCGAGGCAGACAAATTCCTCCTCCTCACTCGCCCTTTTTATCAATCCTTCCCATTCGAACCACTCCTGATCTTTGTCCCCGTCGTCACCCACATCGCCTCCGGGATTGCCTTACGACTCTACCGTCGTCGCATCACAGCAAGACGGCATGGAGCCGAGACACTCTCGCAGCGCAGGAAGATGAAGAGTAAGATACCGTGGCCAAAGTTCTCGCTCACTAGCGCCGCGGGTTATGCACTGTATCCAATGTTCGTGGCCCACGTGTTGTCTATGCGCATCATCCCCAAGAAGATCGATGGGAGTTCTGCCTCTGTGGGATTACGCTACTTTGCCCATGGCATAGCACAAGATCCGTATGTCGGACTGGCAGGCTACACATTGTTCGTGTGCGTCACCAGTTACCACGTGGTAAGCGGTGCGGCCAAATTCCTGAGAGTGAGTGCAGAGTATGTCATCGGGGGCGGGGACGAGGGTCACCTGCGGAAGAAATGGCGAACCAGGATTATCAACGGGATCACCGCCGCCGTGGCAACCGCGTGGATTGCTGGTGGGTTGGGCGTTGTGGGAACGGCAGGGCGAGGTACGGGTTGGGAAGCAAGCCATTGGGATAAGATATATCGTGCAATGCCGGTTATTGGCAGGCTGTTTTAATATTAACAAACGCGGTTCTGCGGATCGTTTGTCTTGTGTATTTTCTAGATGTGAGATAGGGTTACCCGCGAAGAGTTTAGAAAAGGGGCCCCATACGCATATACGTCCACACGGCGCATTCTGTAAATATAGTTCAAGTCCACCACAACATGGCTCTTTTCGAGGAGTTTCCCCCCAAAGATCAGGGCACCGCCCCCCCAAAAAACAGCGACGTTTGCTTCACGCGTGTTGCCATTGAAGACTTGTGCGAAGACGAGGCGCCGAGGGTGAGGGGGTGAACAGGACATATATACACTGTTCGGCTTTCGGGGGCCTGAGCACCAGATTCACACTACACGCTCCTATGCCTCTTCACCCTTTCCTCCAACCCATAAGTGACGCCCCACACGATGAGCCCGTCACGTTGAGCAAATCTATCTTAACACGTGCAAATCATGGTCAAGGGATGAGAAAAAGGCGAGGGAAAATAAAAGCAGGTGATCCCTCTCGGAGCTAGTCGGTCCCTTCGGGGCGAAGTGAGCAGTCGTTGAGGCCGCTCAAGGAAAAATAGTTCCGCAGGCCACAGCGCAGATTTATCTAGGGGATAGAGGCTGCCAGATGCCCCAGGAGATGGTGAACGGAGATACAATGTTCCTGGTGTGTGCAAGAAGGATCAGCATGCGCCGTTTTAGCAATTAGAGACTCGGATAGACACTCACGCAGCCAGATTCTGGATTGGCATTGAAAAGCTGAGTTGGCTCGGCTTGCCCCCTCCCTCTCCCTCGACTGACGTCTCAACCACCTCGTTGATGACGTTGAACTTGACCAGCCGCAAGTATCGCAGGCGGTATCGCATGAGCCTAAGTCGAGCAGCAATAGCGTTTGCCTGCTCCGTCGAGGCTACAACAAACTCCAGCCTTTGTATTGAGCTTGAGACGAAGTCGACCAGTGTGATTTCCATGTTCGGCCACGTCAGGGCAAGCTCCTGGAGTTTCGGTGTGTCCAGCAGGAAGGCTGAGAGAAACTCGACGAAGGCCGACGCAGGAGTCGTGTTGGAGGATATCTTGAGCACTTCAAGGCTATCTCGATGGAACTCATACAACGCTTTCATCGTCTTGGAGTTCAGGAAAATGCTCCCATCTGTCTTCGGGTCGGTGATTTGGGTCAAAGCTAGACGCTTCAGCGGCCTGATCCTTTCGAACAATTGATGTGTGACGGACTGGGCGATCCTGGTCTGATAGCCATGTCTCTGGCGCATCAGGAGGCCATGAGGTGGACCGATGATGGAAAGATTCCGAAGACCCGTCAACTTGCTAAGCACTTCTGCAGTCCTCGTGGGGCTTGTCTCTGAGAACCCGCTAAATTGGAAAGTGTGTAGTTCTTGAACGGATCCAAGGCAGCTAATATGGCATTGCTCAACGTCGAGCTTCATCACATGTAGCTTGAGGTAGTGTTCTGCAACCCAGGTCAGGACTTGGGTCATGACGATACTCGAGGGTGTATTCCTGCCAGAGTCTGAGGGCCGCAGAAGTGCCAAATGCGTCACGCCAGGAATGTTCTCCAGTGCAGATGTGATGCGATGGATTTCTTGGAGATATGGATGCTGAGAAGCTTGACCAGCGATCCAAGGTGTTACAGCCTGGGGTCCAATTTCCTCAAGCCTAAGTCTCAGATTGGTGATACTTTGCTGCACCCTTTTCGGCCATTTGTTTGTGAATTTGACAAGATCATTTTGACATTCGCACACGAGTGGCCTGCGAAAGAAAGAAAGTCTGGCTTCACTATACACTTGCTTGTTCACACATAGCAGGTTTAAATGGTCCTGACACTTGAAGGCGAGCATTAGGTCGTAGATGTATTCGCGGACTTCGAGGGGGATCTGTAAAAGATAGCTCGGAGTGGCTGCGCCGTACGCGTCCGTTGATTTCTTCGCTACCTGTCGATGGTGAGCCCATTTCTCGAAGAGTGAGACATGTTGCTTACCTCGTTTGTCTCTGGCAACAAACTGACCCGCTGCATCTTCTGCAAAGGACCACTTGGTTGTATTTCAGCTAGCTGCCACCGAGCACCCGAGGAACTGCTGCCAATTTCTTGTAGCACCTGCGACGGAAGTAGCTTGTTGCACTAGCTTCTTTGTGTAGAGGAGGTACAAAGATATAGGTCCGGCGGGATTTGCGAGGTGATACTTGGTGAAGATAAGAAGAGGCTTTGCATTTGCTAGGCCGACGATATTTGGTTCAAGCATTCTCGATCCATCATAGGATGATGCTGTCCACGTGAAGATTCGGCCGGGGTGACGGCTTCAATATTCAGCAACATATTGCTAAATTCGCTGCGCTTTGGCCAGCAAGGCAGTATAGCATCTCATAGAAACCGTGAAAGGCCGAAAAAGTGTTGCCGGATCGTGTGTATTCGAACAAGAAGTGTTGTAGCTGTCTATTTTGGAGTATGTACGAGAATCCCATGCACGCTTAGCATATCGCAGTGGTAAAGGTCGAGGTTTGGTGGTGATGCGAATAAACCTAAAGATCTGAGACAGTAGGGGCAACAGCTAGTGGGAGAATGTGAACAAAGGGTGGCTGCCACATGGTCCTCTGGATGTTGGGCTCCCTGGTTGTTATTGCAAAATGACAGCGGGCACTAAACTGTGGAATGACAAGGAACAATACCAAACGCCACGCCGAGCAGGTCGCAGATGTCGAAACCAGCTCAGAACAGACCAGGAGAAAGAGGCAACAGAAAAGACCGGAAGAGGCGCTACTTCCCGAGCTCTTCAATCGAAGATATGAAGTGTGAGCATGGAGCAACTCACCGCAAGTACTCAATACTTTTGATAAAGGTAGTATGGACATCTGACACGGACCTTGGATCTCCACCTCTCGGAGATCATCGAGATTGTGCGATTTCTAGCTCCATGCAGCCCTATTGATGCATTCCTGGGCCCCAGCTAGCTCTCGGGGATGACTTGTGTCAATGAATAGACCGTCAGAAAGCACGCACACGGTAGCAAGCTGATCCACGTGAGCCATAGGAACGGCGTTAGATTCGGCGAAATCCTCCAGTCCTAAGCTTGCGCACAACATCTCAACATCGTATCCGAGTTAACGGGAGGGGGTTCGCATCGAGCAGTTCGGTTGTTTTCTGGTTGGTCATTGGATCAACCACCTGTGGGAAACGAGAGCCGAACCAGCGAGCC